TGCATTGCTAAACCTGGTTTGTTTACACTTATCTTTCGTCGAGTGTCGAATAACAATGCCCGACCATAACGGAGCGTAGGGCATGTACTTGGTCAAAAACAAATCCCAGAACTGAATCGATTGCAGGAGATTTTTATTATTTTCAGTTGGACTGTTATTGTTTTCACCTTCTTCAACGTCAAACCTATCTTCTAATTCTTTTCCGACTTTGTAGAAAGGGCTTGATTGGTAAATCGTCTTCTTTTCACTCTCTATCAAAGTGGATTCGTCAACTTTATCTCCGAGCTGGTCGATAAGTTGGATTGCAGATTCATCCCTTTCAAACATATGTTTAGCTGCTTCCACTGCTTCGCTTACCTCTTTGCTCTTTGCAACAACTACTAGTGCCTGTACCTTTAGTTTAAATTCTTCAAAATAGCTGCAGTTGATCAAAGATGCCATGCAATACATATAAAATCTTTTCAAATCTTTGTTCATTCCAATCTTTGACAAATCACCTGCTACCATATGCATGAAATGGCTGCAACACAGATGAAGTGTTACGATTCCTTTAATTTTGTACTGAGGTTTCAAGCAAAATCTGAACATTTTTATTAGGTATGCAAGTACTGTCATTCGGTTCCAAGCCAAAATCACCGCCGGCAGAAGCGCGGTGCTAAAATCTGTGACGATGTGCGTAAAAATGAGCCTTTTTCCAAAGTACTTTTTCTGGAAGTGAACAAACTGCAAGAAAAACGATGTTATCGAAGCCACATCATGCTGGCAGCTAATGAAATCCATCATTGGTAGAAGTTTTCCAGATACGTTCACGCATCCTGAGTAGTAGTAAACAGTTTTTCTATCACCTTTCAAAGGTCTTACAACCGAGCCCGTGCTGTCAATATGAAGAACACATATTTTACTGTTTTCATTTTGAATAGTAAATTTTAGTGTCTTAAACTGAATCTTGCTAAACATGTATACATGCAGTGGCTCGCCAATTCTCTGAATTATCTTCTCGTCATCTTCAGTTTCTTGTTTTTCGTTTTTTTAAATTTGTTTCTGTTGTTCATCCCCATCCCTGTCTTCACGGAATCGTAGTATCAAATCTATTCCATCGTCATTGTGCTTATCCAACATCTTTGCAGCTTCTGCTCTGGCTTGCCTGAACACATCCAAAGATCTTATTTGTAACAGATTTCCTGAAAGAACAGTCTGTGATTCAGCTTGTAGAATCTTTTCACTCCTAAAGTTCAGCGCCTTTTTGGAAAGCAATTCTTGCTTTGCTACGCTTCTCTCTAAGCCACTTAGACGCGATGACAATTTACCCTGATGTATTTTATTACCACTTGCAGATATAGTAAGTTTCACTCCACCAGCACTTTGAGTTAAATCAAACCGAAATTGTCTACAGCCTTCATGTTTACATTTGCCATAGTAAACAATCTCAGGTTCTCCAATATTGCACTTATTCCTTCTGTGGGTTGTAAAGTTCACCAAACAAATCTTAAAAACTGGAGCAGCAACAAGCTTTATCAACTCGCGAATCATGAACCATGAATAGCTGTCACCTTTTACTTTAACTTTATTCCAGTCCTCTGACGTAATCCAAAACTCCCAGTAGCCAACGTCACGACTAACGTCTTGTTTCGTTGTAGAGTGTTGATTTGGAATCTTGTCATGTACGAAAGAATCTTTTGTTTCCCTATTTTCGGCACCGATTGAAATCAATGATTTTTTTGTTATACTTCTATCATTGAATGGTAATAATAAATCATCATCAAAAGTCATTTCATTCGTATGCTGTGTACTTTGCTGGATTTTTTTAGATGAGTCAGTTTTGTTATTTCTCGCTTCAACATTGACGTCACTATCAGGTTGTTTTTCATACCAGTTTCCTTCACAATACTCATTATAAGCTTTTACGGACATTTTTTCCTCTTCATTTCTGGTTAAATTGTCATTGCAGCTATTTCCAGTTCCATTTCCATCATTAATATTCTGAGTAAACAACCATTTACCTATAACATAGGTAAATGTTTGTCCGAACATTATTAGGACGCTGAGAACAAATTCGTTAGCTAGACTTTAGGCTAAAATTAACCTAAATATATATGTTTAGAATTAAATGATTTTTTAATATGTTGTACATCCAAGTGTATACTTTAATTTAAAATGATAAAATTTTGGGGAATATCGTCACAACATAGGTAAATGTTTGTCCGAACATTATTAGGACGCTGAGAACAAATTCGTTAGCTAGATTTTAGGCTAAAATTAACCTAAATATATATGTTTAGAATTGAATGATTTTTTAATATGTGCTACATTTAAGTGTATACTTTAATTTAAAATGATAAATTTTTGGGGAATATCGTCTTAACATAGGTAAATGTTCGTCCGAACATTCTTAGTACGCTGAGCGCTAATTCGTTAGCTGGACTTTAAGCTAAAATTAACCTAAATATATATGTTTTGATTTTAATGATTTTTTAATATGTGCTACATTTAAGTGTATACTTTAATTTAAAATGATAAAATTTTGGGGAATACCGTCACAACATAGGTAAATGTTTGTCCGAACATTATTAGGACGCTGAGAACAAATTCGTTAGCTAGACTTTAGGCTAAAATTAACCTAAATATATATGTTTAGAATTGAATGATTTTTTAATATGTTGTATATCTGAGTGTATACTTTAATTTAAAATGATAAAATTTTGGGGAATATCGTCACAACATAGGTAAATGTTTGTCCGAACATTATTAGGACGCTGAGAACAAATTCGTTAGCTAGACTTTAGGCTAAAATTAACCTAAATATATATGTTTAGAATTGAATGATTTTTTAATATGTTGTACATCCAAGTGTATACTTTAATTTAAAATGATAAAATTTTGGGGAATACCGTCACAACATAGGTAAATGTTCGTCCGAACATTATTAGTACGCTGAGAACAAGTTCGTTAGCTAGACTTTAGGCTAAAATTAACCTAAATATATATGTTTAGAATTGAATGATTTTTTAATATGTTGTACATCCAAGTGTATACTTTAATTTAAAATGATAAAATTTTGGGGAATATCGTCACAACATAGGTAAATGTTTGTCCGAACATTATTAGGACGCTGAGAACAAATTCGTTAGCTAGATTTTAGGCTAAAATTAACCTAAATATATATGTTTAGAATTGAATGATTTTTTAATATGTTGTACATCCAAGTGTATTCTTTAATTTAAAATGATAAAATGTTGGGGAATATCGTCACAACATAGGTAAATGTTCGCCCGAACATTCTTAGTACGCTGAGCGCTAATTCGTTAGCTGGACTTTAAGCTAAAATTAACCTAAATATATATGTTTAGAATTGAATGATTTTTTAATATGTGCTACATTTAAGTGTATACTTTAATTTAAAATGATACATTTTTGGGGAATATCGTCTTAACATAGGTAAATGTTCGTCCGAACATTCTTAGTACGCTGAGCGCTAATTCGTTAGCTGGACTTTAAGCTAAAATTAACCTAAATATATATGTTTTGATTTTAATGATTTTTTAATATGTGCTACATTTAAGTGTATACTTTAATTTAAAATGATAAAATTTTGGGGAATACCGTCACAACATAGGTAAATGTTTGTCCGAACATTATTAGGACGCTGAGAACAAATTCGTTAGCTAGACTTTAGGCTAAAATTAACCTAAATATATATGTTTAGAATTGAATGATTTTTTAATATGTTGTATATCTGAGTGTATACTTTAATTTAAAATGATAAAATTTTGGGGAATATCGTCACAACATAGGTAAATGTTTGTCCGAACATTATTAGGACGCTGAGAACAAATTCGTTAGCTAGACTTTAGGCTAAAATTAACCTAAATATATATGTTTAGAATTGAATGATTTTTTAATATGTTGTACATCCAAGTGTATACTTTAATTTAAAATGATAAAATTTTGGGGAATATCGTCACAACATAGGTAAATGTTTGTCCGAACATTATTAGGACGCTGAGAACAAAATCGTTAGCTAGACTTTAGGCTAAAATTAACATAAATATATATGTTTAGAATTGAATGATTTTTTAATATGTTGTACATCCAAGTGTATACTTTAATTTAAAATGATAAAATGTTGGGGAATATCGTCTTAACATAGGTAAATGTTCGTCCGAACATTCTTAGTACGCTGAGCGCTAATTCGTTAGCTGGACTTTAAGCTAAAATTAACCTAAATATATATGTTTAGAATTGAATGATTTTTTAATATGTGCTACATTTAAGTGTATACTTTAATTTAAAATGATAAAATTTTGGGGAATATCGTCACAACATAGGTAAATGTTTGTCCGAACATTATTAGGACGCTGAGAACAAATTCGTTAGCTAGACTTTAGGCTAAAATTAACCTAAATATATATGTTTAGAATTGAATGACTTTTTAATATGTTGTACATTCAAGTGTATACTTTAATTTAAAATGATAAAATTTTGGGGAATATCGTCTTAACATAGGTAAATGTTCGTCCGAACATTCTTAGTACGCTGAGCGCTAATTCGTTAGCTGGACTTTAAGCTAAAATTAACCTAAATATATATGTTTAGATTTTAATGATTTTTTAATATGTTGTACATTCAAGTGTATACTTCAAATTAAAATGATAAAATTTTGGGGAATACCGTCACAACATAGGTAAATGTTTGTCCGAACATTCTTAGTACGCCGAGCGCTGGATTTCAGACTCAAATTTACTTAAGATTTTATGTATATATTATTTTATATGTTATGAATTTAAGTATTTCCTCCCATTTCATTTGTGAAAATGTGCCGGAAAACGTTACAACATGTGTTATATCGTTTAAATTAAGGTATTAACATTTTTAACACAGTTGAGGTCTATTACTGTTGTATTAGATTGTACACAGGTAGGGTAGTGGGGTGTGGAATTCTCCGCCCGCCGTTAGCTGGCGATAGCTGTCTTCACGATCGTTTTGGTTGAGGAGGTTATTATTTATGTTCGTCTGTTGAGGAATGAGGAGTTGGAGGTAAAAGTTTGCATTCCTTCAGATTTTGAATAATTATTAAGTTAGTCTAGATTTGTGACTGAGTTATTTTACTTTTTATTTCTGAATAGTTGTATAGGCTATTTACTATTATGTCCGGAAAACCTAGATTGGGAGAGTTATTTCCAGACTTCTCTGCGGAAACAACAGTTGGAAAGATAAACTTCCACGAATGGTTAGGAAACTCGTAAGTACTAATTTAACAAACTATACATAAGTTAAGGTTATTACTACAAACATCATGAAATCGTTAGGTGTTTGCGCGGTTAGAGTAAACCTTCACAACCCAAATAGCCTAGGCCTATGCCTCATAAGTTAAGTTAAAGTTAGGGTAGGTCTCCAAAGCTCAATTACTATTTCAGTCATTCGTTATCTACAAAATTACAGTAGGCCAATGTCAACAGGCAATAGAATAGCCCAATGTAATTTCTGGAAGAACTTATCGTCTAACGTGTTATTTTTTTAGAATTTAAATAAGTTTTAGCCTAGGCCTTGAGTTTAATGGAAAAAAGATTGGTTTAACAGCGGTCCACTCATAGATTTTTGATGAAAAAACCTTCCAAAGAATAACATTTAAAAAAGAAACACTTCTAAAATAAGCCCACCAGTATTTTTAAAGCCTCCAAAAATTAAAAGTTTTCAGATTTCATGCTCAATGGAGTTGTTCCAATGATGGATTGAAGGATTGTTTTAACTTAAGTGGCTGAGGCAGAGTAACTTAGTACCTATCTACTTAAATAGCCACGCCTTTTAACTTAACTGAGTCATGGAAAAAGATAAAAAAAGGTAGGCTACTTACGGTAATTAATTTGATTTTAAGTGACCATGTGAATCTATAACTTATTTATTTATGATCACCAGAAACTAGATTTTTAGCTAAAAAATAATAACTTCTAAGGCTAAGTTAACGGAACTAAATACAGCTCTTGAAAGTTTTGTTTACCTACTTTTGTAAATCTACTGATTAGAGGCCTATTTGATACAAAATTTCTTCACCTGCATAATAATGAGACATAGGCTACCTAATGTACGGTACTATGTTGAGGATGTGAGCTTTGTTACAAGTTTTGGAATAGACTAAGCACGGAATAGGTTTAATCTATGGTTTGGTGCAGTAGGTGAATTAATGGCAGTTCAGGTAAAAGGGGGAAAGGATTTTTACTTTGATGTAACTTAGGCCTATCTCATCTCATTTGCCAACCAAGCCAGACTATTATGGGTGTGGTTCAGCAAATGTTCAAGATTTGTGGTCAAATTCACTACAATTATGGTCCATCCCATCCAAAAAAAACCTCGAGAGTAACCGTCGATTTCAACGGGTTTCCCCTAGTATTTTAATGAAAATCCAATCAGACACATGGAAATTCGCTAGTTCCATAGCTAACATAGCGTTGGAGAGTGTTATTTTTATTTCTGTCGTCTTCAAATCTAGATCTGTAGCCTAAACACAAAATTAATTTCTTAAAATAATCAACCAGTTGCTTTCTGAACTTAATCCATAACACAAACACGGTAGCTTATGAGATCCATATTGTCTGCTCCATTCTATTTCCTTTTTCTATGCTGGACCATCTAGGCCTAAACTTACTTAAGTGCCACGGTGGACAGTTTCTATTGTCTTGCTTGTTTTTCATTTAGAATTTTGCTTGGGTTTCTGTTAACTCGGATTTTAGTTTAACTGGGAGCGGTTGAAAGAGATTTTACAGTATATAGGCTACTAAATTAATCAATCGAGACATAAGTTATGGTTGTAGTATCGTACACACATAAGCTTGTTATGGGATTAACTGAGAAGCGTAAGAACTTGTTGTTACTGTAATCCAAGGAGCTTAGGCCTATTTCTACTTGCTATCTTTAGTATCCAATTTACTTGCTGATACCTTCACTAGGGTATCTAATAAGTTAGTCAAAGCTAATACTTATATATCATATAAGCTCTCATATTGATGTCTTAAAATAGCTATATTGTGTTTTAAGAGAGCAAAGAATGTCGAGAGCTGTATTTATTTACTGAACACCAACGGCAAACACCATTTTACATTGAGTAAGCTACAGATAGGAAAATATTATGAAAATTTAGCTGTCAATTACAGAGGTGCTGAAAACAATCTTTAAAACTAATTAATAGCCTACATGGCAAAAACAATGGATATTGATGTTACAAAAAAATATAACAATATATAGAAATAACAATAACAAAATATAACAATGACTATAGGCTAGGTATATCAATAACAAGAATACAAACAAAATATATCACTGTAGTTGGCTGCATGAAGCATATTAAGCTGAGTGCAGCCATACATTTTGAGAGCGGCAATGACTGCTCGTAATACACAACAGATTTTTTGAAAAGGTTTGATGGGAAAATTACCATTAAAAATCTAAATTTCAAAAACATGAAAAACGCCTGGAGATACCATGAATTAGTACCGTACCTACTAACCTACATACCAAATTTCATCAAAATCGGACTACAGGTGTAGTCCGTAGCTCTGTACACATCCACACATACAGACACACATCACTTTGGTTCAGGGAGACCCAAAACGGATATATCTAGGCCTACTCAAAACTCAAACTGGAAAATTTTGACAATACAAGACTTTCTCCATACGGTATAGGTACTGTAGGCCTACTATGTATAAGGGAGAAAGTAAAAATTGGGTTTTCCAATTTATGAACATTAAAAACCTTTATTAGCCTTCCTGCCTAAGAAAAACTATAACTGATCTATTTCTGAACCAATAAATAAAACTTTATTTCCGAATTCTTTCAGATGGGGTATATTATTTTCCCACCCAGCAGACTACACGCCCGTGTGCACTACAGAGCTTGGGAAGGCTGCTCGACTCGTTCCACAGTTCCAAAAAAGAAATGTCAAAGTTATTGCTTTGTCTTGCAACAGTGTTAACTCACACAAAGGTTGGATTGAGGTATGTACTTTTTGTTTCAAACCCAAAATTGGTTGAGATGAAATACAAAAATTAAGGAAATGTAACACAATCTAGTATAAGGTTCATCTTGCATCAGGGTGAAACATGTGTATTCTAAGACCTTCAATAACTCTAGAAAAGATTTATATTTTTAGAAATTTAAGAAAAATTTGCACAAATATTTTTGCAGACTAATGTGTTGTTTGTTTTGTACTGTGCCACAGCTCAATTAATCTGAATTTTCCGACAGTTATTTAAAAGGCAGCAACTTACTTATGAACATATTTTATGCTTAATAAATGCAGGGTGGGTGTAGATAGAATTGAATGAGATACAGTAGACTCCCTCTTTCCCAGTTAAGACATCACCTAAAACCCTTTAACACTCGTAAACTATCCAAACGGTTTAATCCAAGCTTTTTTACTGACTGAAATCAGCAGAGCTGTCTTTGAGCGAGCGTAATTCATTATTTTCAAATTATGGTCAGCTGGGTCCAATTTTTATGTATCAAAAGCTACTAGGTACATTTTTTCTCAGAATAAAACTGACAAACCTCTGTTTTGTAGCCGAGCATCGTTCAGCTAACCACTATGTGCTAATCAATCTTGTTTACTAATAGAGTGTGTGACTTTGGTTCCCGAATCAAATCCTGCCAAATCACCAATGGATTTGAGCTAAGTGATAAAGCCGCAACCCCTAGGTCTAGCCTGAAGTAATGTGAAAAAACTATCCCAGGCTAGAGCCAATGCCTATACATGCATACCATGGAAAAAAAGTTATATTATACTATGTGCCCAATTTTGAAAAATGACACGTAGCCCCCTTTAACTGTTACACCACTATATTTTTCAGGATATTAAGAGCTACTCGATGATTCAAGGAGATGCTTTTCCATACCCGATCATTGACGACGAAAGCAGAGACCTGGCTGTCCGGTTTGACATGATAGATCCTGCAGAGAAGGACAAGGATGGGCTGCCGTTGACTTGCCGAGCAGTCTTCATCATAGATCCCAACAAGGTGTTGAGGCTTTACTTCATGTATCCAGCAACAACTGGCAGAAACTTTGAGTAAGTGAAGGATTTCTGCCTCTAATCTTGAGTGGGAGGAAGTACACTTTGGCACAAGAAAAAAATAACACTTACACAAAAGTTTGAATATTTTACTGTCACAGTATTTTCAACCAGGGAAAGTTTGAGTTAGGAACTGTTATATTCAAATGGTGGTTTCAGGAAGTTGATGTTGGCAAATTTGCCTCAAACACATTTTACTACACTTGTTCACGCTGTATCTTACCTACAATAACCCATGTATGAAATCATAAGTAAGATACAACCAATACGACATTATTATTATTAATTGACCAAATACTGTAACATAAATTCTCTATAATCTCCAATTAATTAATAATCCTGGTTACCTTGTTAGATTGAAACCTAGCTGAATGTACCAGTTTTGTGTTTAGTGTGTTTTTTCTTTTGTTTTTCTTATTTTTGTGCCAGAATGGACTTTTTGAGATCCATGTATGCCTGCTTCCTAACAAAAATCGCTAAAACCCAGGCTCCATAACATTGCCACGTCTAAAAGGTTATTTGGTTTTGGGCTGAAACTAAAATCCTGCAAAGTAAACACAGTAGACCTCCAACGGTCCTAATTGCCGATAATCTGAATGGCATACAGCAATAATAATTTTAAAAACGTACAACCACAGTAATAAGAATCGTTTAAGAAGGTCTCTCTTGCCGTCATGTACACATTTTCATCGTCTCCCACAGTCGCAGAAACATTATTATCAGCTTCCGTGATGGCGGAAAAATTTATCCTAAGGTCGTAGACATGATTGTTTCACGCGGTCATGGAAATTCAACATCATTTATCACGATTGCAGGATTCAGACAATAATCTTGTTTCATGAACCTTATGGGATACGGTCTCAATTCTGTAAACTTATATTTTGTACTTAATGGTACCTAATAATAAACTTAAAACAGGCTTCTTTCTAAAATTAGTTTGTGTGAGTAGTTTGCTTCAATACATTTTAGATTTGTGCCGGACAGAATTAAATTTTAACTCTTTAAGGCATGGTCTTGGTAATGATTTAGTCAACTGAGCTTTAAATTTAGTATTCATATATTTGAGTGAGCAATGGGTTACCAAACGTAGGTACTAAAATAGGCCTACAGTGTATATGTTCTCGTCTCACATTCAAGTTTTATTTTTTCATTGTACTCTTTGTCCTATTCTTTTTTCCTAAAAGTTTATTTGAATTGTGATCAATATAATTTACTATGTATTTAAGTTGATTAGCCTACCCTTAACTTTTTAAGTGAATGTCAACCTTGAAGTTAAAATGTTTGATTTCAGTGAAATTCTGCGTGTTCTGGATTCTCTTCAACTGACAGACAAGTACAAAGTGGCCACCCCGGCAGACTGGAAGGTAATTTTTCCATATGATCACAGAGAAGTAAGGTACAGAGGAAACATTCAATGGTATGAGTGGTGTCTTGCGCTAGCCGCTGGTGTCTAGGAGAAAGTCTAACAGGTCCCCCTCGCCCTAATGTACTTCAAGCTCACGGTGGAGGAAAGCTCTGTGCCCTGTGCGATAGGAATTTCGCACAGTGCTTGTCACTCTTGCTCTTCATAAGTATATTTCCGACACAACTTGAGCTGAAAGCGCACTGTGGTTCCATTAGCGAGTTTCCTTAGTACCTTACTTCTTTGCAATATGATTAACCAAAAGCTCTATTTTAAACTGTCGAGATATTAAAAAAATCTTTTGTCAAGAAAGGCTAGGTAATGAATTTAATTTGTAATTGAATGTGGGTGGTTTTGCAGGGAATATACGACATGTTATCGGATGAAATATTAGTTTGATCGATACATATATTGTATCAGATATCTGTTTTTACGGATATAGTATCGATCGTCGTATGTATTGAATATGAAAATTTTAAGCTATGGGGTCTTTAAAAAAACAATTTTTAATCTTTAGACTGTTCTACGACAGTTTAGTTTAGTTTACAACAATATCAAACAATGTAACATTTATGTAGCCTTGTTAAGGAGATAAATTCAAAGACGTTAAATTTTAGATGGGTACACTTTTTCTTAAGTTTATAAACAAATCAAATTTTGTAAATGATATATTGTTTGGCATTATCATAAACTGCACTGATCTAAACTAACCGAACGCCACAGCGCTCTGTAAAAGAGTGGTAGGCCCTCTTTGGCCTCTACTTGAAGGGACCAAAAAATTACAAAACTTCAATATTTATTATATTCTTTTAATTAATATTTATATAAAATAATAAATAACATCCGATAATATATGCTTAACTTAGTTTACCCTTGAATGCTTATAGGAAAATTTATCATTCAGTTATACTTCGTTATGACTTGAATCTGAGAATATTTAGCTAAGGCAGTAAAAGTGTGAGCTAAAAATTATTGGTTATTTGTTATGACTTTAACAGTTTGTAGCTTGAAACATATCAATCAAAGCATGGATTACCAGATTTATCAAAAATTCATGGTCCCCACAGTCATCAACAGGTAAAATCTATTTGACATTGCCAAAGAAGTGTCAACCAAAGTCAGTTACTGTAAACCACCCTTTTTTCAGTCACAGTGTGATTTGTGTGTGTTTTTAACTGTTAATCTGTTTCTTTTCCTCCTAATATACTCCCAATTCAAGTGATTCACCCTTTCAAATTTATCTTCATTATTTTGAAATGATGTGGTGGAATGTAAAAATATGTCAATTAGGAAATTAATTAATACATATTTACTTATGGTGGAGTAAAATAGTTTTTACAGTTGTTGCCCAAGCTGAAAATAGTGTGCTTCATATCCCTCACACTAACAAACAGTTATAGAACAAAATTTTAACTAAACCTTTGCTTTCATGTCTCACAATATGATATACCACAAAATTTCCAATAATTTTTCCTAGTCCTAAAACATCAATTATCATCACATTATACACAGTATCAAAATGTAATATTAAGATAAGCGTATTCTGCAATGATTCAATACAGTTGTTCTTACTGCAACCTTAACTATGGGGTTTGCTTATACACTAATTCCAACTTGATATATGACTTGTCTATAACATAATATATAACTTCTTAATTTTGAGCAAAAAATGTTTAATAGAAAAATAAATGTTAGTGAATGATAAAACCCTTTTAACTATCATTATTTTGTTTCAGCAAGGGCAAGAAGTTATGGTGTTGCCCACAGTAAGTGAAGAAGAAGCCAAATCGTTGTTTCCGAATGGAATTTCAACAGTTTTAGTCCCTTCAGGAAAGAAATATCTCCGGGAAACACCACAGCCAGTGGAGTAAGAAGTCTTTTTCTTCAGTGATCTCAGCATTTATAATTATTGAATATTATTCTTAAATTCCATTTTACAATGGATAAAGTCTTACGACTCTTGTTTTTTTGCAACTACTCTGTTTAGTTTCAGGAGTTTATTTTCATTAAGTGAAATTTTTTTAAATTTTTCCTTAAAACCTTAAAACAAAGTTGTACTGTGTTACCTACTAAGGAAGAAGTAAGTGCCTACCATTTGTATGTTTAAGATACTTGTTTGTAATAAATATGTTATTTATGTAAATTAATAAAATAATAACAATTTAGTATTGTAAAATTGTATATTTAATTTATTACCTACTACCTTTCATTGTTATGTTAAAATGCTTATCACATTTATTAAGCATATTTTTAAGGGTATGTAAGGCACTTAGAAGGATCGGCCCCCTTAATGTTCGTGTTTTTTGTTTGCTAACATAAAAATCTTAGAATTAGAAGAAATCTTTGTGGTACGCTTTCAGGATCTACTGAGTAAAAGATGTATTAATGAAATCAAATGACCATAGAAGATCAGTTTTATAAATGTCTTTTACCTAAAAAATTGTGGAAGGTTTAATCCAGGTTAAGTGAACATGTGAATTCACTTAATTTTATTGTAGCCATATGTCACAATGGTGATAAGAGCTTAGAAAAGATAACAATAGATAAATCCATAAGTGAAGTTTGTTGTAAAAATCCAATAAAGAAAAGATAAATATTTTGTAATAACCTAGATCATGTTTATATTAATTTTGTGAATGGGAAAGATAAAACATGCAAGTGGGTCAAAACAAAAATACCCTACTGCAGAGAACCTATGGCATGGTACCTCAGTTAGCATTGAAGTCTTTCTATTCGGGTTTGAATTCCGTATGTGCAATCCATGTCAGCTTAGTACTTAGCTACAGCTGTCAACTTAGCTTGTAGAGAACACATTTTTTGTTCATTTTTAAATTAGAAGACATATAGGTAATGTAGACAATATCATGGCTTAACCCATATCACAGAAAACATACTACTATAACCCAGAATGCCAACTGAATGGCAAAACACTGCTTTTTACCATGCGGTTGGCATTCTGGGTTATAGTAGTATATTTTCTGTGCCCATATCTAAAAAAAATTGACGTAACAAAAGTGAAAATGATTTTTCCTACATTCCTGACAAAGTGGGCTTCCTTGCACTGATTATAGCTTTGCCGCACAGTTTTTACTTCGTCGCACACCAGTATTCCAACCAAACAATACAAAACAACAAGGTTTTGTTATGTTGTAATCCGTCCGTGTACACTTGGAAATAATTCAAACTTAAAGACACTACGACTACGATCAGCTGGAGCAGTTGTTTCTCATTTCATTCAAGTTTGGATTCAACCTAACCTAAAACATGTTTACTGTTTGAAAGACTAATTATAATTTCTGTAGTAATTATAATAGTAACTGTAGAAAATAGTTACATGTGTAACTGGCACTTTGCTGCATGCGGCTCGTGCAAAATGTTTCTTGAGTGCAGCAAAGGCCATTTGTGCTTGTGTTACACATTATATTTTTCCTACAGTCAATATAAATAGTTATTCTGTCATCATTTGTGAACAGAATGACGCCATTTACAGCTCTGTAGCTGACGTGTACGCTTTGTGTAAGAAAATAATTTAAATTATTGAATCTCCATGCATGCGATATGAGGTCGGTGGTACGTTTTTTTGACCATGAGAAACATACAATACCGACATTCATCAGATGAGTGAAGGTTAAGTAAATTTTGTATGTAGGTTTCTAGTGGTAAAAAATGTATCACTGGCATTAGGGAGTAAAAATGGCTGTGAAAACCTTTTATTGGTTCTTTGTTGTGTAGGTTCTAGGAAAGCTGCAACCCCCCAAATTTCCCTATTAGCCCAAGGATTCGGAAATAATAAATCACACATGAGAACAAAACATTAATTTACTTCAAACACATGTAAAACAAACAAAAGAAAATTTTTTTCATACCTTAAGGGCCACTATTCAAAACCATGATTTATCATGGCCACTATTCAAAACCATGATTTATCATGGCCATTATTCAATACCGTGATTTATCATGGCCACTATTCAAAACCATTATTTATGATGGTACATTCAGTTTTGAAACACAAAAAAGAATGAACTTTACCTCAAGATTAAATTTCTGCACTATCCCCTCTGAGCTAATTTAGGCCTAGATCTATAATCTAAGAAAAGAAAGTTAAAGTCTTCATCGTCAAAGTCATCTTCTCTTACATAGTCCATCAGAATTGCCGGCACTGCATAATTGGAAGAGGCCATTATAGAATTGATAAAAGAGGGATTCAGAGGCTCCACACTGCAGTCTGCCAACACTACGCTGTACCTCCTTCCGTCAGTGTACAATCCCTTTTCTTCTCCGAAAGAAGCCTATAGGTACAATAAACAAGTGTTACTAAAACATTTACACTCTTTCAATGAGTGTTAGGCTATTCCCTACAAAAACAATTAATGATTGTTACCACACTATAAACTAAATACAAAATCAAATAATGTTTACATCACAAGATTTGTTTGTTCTTTGATGTGTTATACTCGTATTATTAGCTAGCTGCCACTCTGTTTTATGCACAGACAAAGCAATTCCAGGTACAGGAGACTCTTGACAATTCGAAATTGGTGGGTCAAGCAAATCAATTTGAATTATTAAGAGTTTGATTTATTGGGAAAAAATAAACCATTCAACAGTTATACTGCACAACTTCTGACTGGGCTGCACCACTTTCTACTGCCGCGATCACTTCTTTTTTTCCGCAATCGAAAGGGGTTTGTATTTATGATTAGGTTCCATGACAAAACAACAAATAATTTAGCTTCGGCCACGGTTCTGCACAACATAAGGCTTCAATGAAACAGAACTTAAAATACGTTCATTGTGCATGACGAGTAATCTCGACACTGCCGACACGCGACGAGTATACTCACTCGTCAAAGTACCCTTAACAAACTATTGTTCCAATGCTAGCCACTGCCGTGAGACGTTGTTTCAGTTGCCGCTTAGTGTTCCAGTGTTATACTTCAATCTGCTATAATTGGTTTTCAGATCAGACTATTTTATTGGTGGTAGGGAATGTTAAAAATGCATTGTGGGTTATTATAGTGTGGGGTTTAGGCTTGGATCTAATGACATGCAATAGAAAACGATAATGAAAGTACTGTAATCATTGTTTAAGGAACCTAACCTCAAAATTGTGCTTGACCGCAAACACCGTCAACCAGACAGTACCTATTGCTCTAACTAAACATCAAAACGTCCAAAACTACAGTGGAACAGAATTTTAGTTTTCTGTTATAACATGAAGGGAGCCCTGACTTTGAATGTTTTGCTGACGAGAGTGTTTTGGGGACGAAACTTTGAATTACTGCGTGTTCTAAATTGGCCTGCCTTTTATTTGGACTTTGAAATACCGAGTGTAGGCCTATCAAAATACATGGTAAAAAATTGAAAAATTGAGAGAATCTCTAAGGAGTGAGCTTTTATTTTGAATTATCGAAAGTTGTGATTTATTGAGTATTTGAATTACCAAGAGTGAACTGTATTGTAGTTTGTAATTAAATCGGTTTATCATTATTTAGGCAGTGTTGTTTTTTTGTGATCATTGGGGAAGCCACTACAGATAATTATTGTAATGATTGTAATACTATGTTTATTTCTTACTAGCTGTGTACCCGTTCTACGCATGGGGATCTTTTAGTATTCAGTTGAAACCTTCATATATAAAAACAGCAGTTGGTTTGCATATTTTCAGATATGCTGGCCAAACTATTGTACATAGCTTAATTTTATGTTGTTTGTTGTTGTTCCGGATCGGTATGACAATAAAATTCAATAAAAGGTTAAATTACCTGTGACCGCCAGTCGATCCTAATGTACCCTATTACAGGAGATGCATTTCGGCAAAATTAAATCGCCATCATCAGTCTTAATATAAGGTTTTGAGCTTCCCCAGGTGTGTCTGTGAGTTTTTGAAACACATACACGCACTATACACTACACATGACGAATAAAACATAAATACACGGTATGCCTACTTTTATTTTTACTATGGACATGTAAGACGCACGTCGGTCGTGTGCCGATTCTCGACTGAAAAATGCTCATTCAAAAAATGTCAGTTTCCCAGCCATATACAACACTGATTCAAGGTCTTTTTCCCGGTTGTCAAAACTCAAGAACAATCTTATACACAAAGACTCTCTATTTTCATTTAGGGATACCCTACAAATTATTGCACTGGCAATTAATTAAATCCGTTATGTAAGGAAAAACGTTTTTAATCTTACTTGGTTTGGATTTGCTTTCAAAACGCGATCTGAAATGGTTGCGGTATTTGTAAACAACATTCAATGTAAACATATCAGTGACAGCTAGAAGAAATAATCTTGATTCGAACAGCTGTTCGTTATTTCATAGATGAATATGTGATAAACATTGGGAAAACTTTACAAAAATTTGCATAAAATTGGGTTTTTAAACGTCCGTCATTTTATTTACAAAGTAGTGACGCCATATTTTAATGGCTAAAGACAATCTCGCCAATCCAGTGAATACATTAAAACGATTCGGAACTTGATAGGTACTCTCGTTTTTCAGGAGAAGGCCACGTAAAATGGCTCTCGGCCTGTTACAGACAGGAAGACAGGCAGACAGACAGAAATAGAGATGAGACTTGTTTCGGTTTCTTTAATGTATTAAACGTAAAAATAACTGAAAAGTTTATGATTCTGAGCAATGTACAGACAAAACTATAATTTTATTTATATAGATGCTGTATAATATTTATTGTTATACCATCGCAAGCGAAGCCGCAGGTACAAGCTAGTGTTTAGTAATTACTTTATAGATGTTGTAGATAGCTGACAATTGACAAATCAACAGTGTAAATTTAACAAGAGTTTTTTAAACTAGGGTATTCAAGTGCACTCCAATCGATGATAAGTAAAATGGAAGGAATTATTGGTCCACTTAAGAATAAAATGTCAAGCAACCAACCAGCTTGACTGCAGCAGCGACTACCTGCAGCAGCGCTATCACGGTTATTATTAGGTACCCCCTCGTATACAATATACCACACATTAATTGTTTTAACTGTACAGAAGAAATAGAATTTTACCTTAACACTTAAACGTTTTGCTACCGGTACTTCATCATCAGTCTGTGTTATATCGTAGATCATGTTGATAACTTCATCTTCCCACTCTTGGTCATCCGGGTCTTGGTATAAAAACTTCACTCCAAACAAAAAGCATTCTATGATCTGTAGAAAGGTTTAATGTATTTTTTAGTCATTTTACAGTGTATAACAATGAAAAACTAATACTCATTGAATCTGACTAAATAATGGTAATTTTTACTTTCTCGGCCATACCACAGTATATGGAGAAAGTAATTGTTTTCCTCAAAATTTTCATAACTCGAGTTTGAGTTATGAGTGGATATATCCGTTTTGGGTCCCCCTGGAACCAAAAATAATTTAGATAATTTAATATTTCCCATAATTTAGATTTTTAATTGTGATTGTCTCTTAAAAACTTATAGAATAGCAAAAAATTGTATTTTCTTAAAAATGACCAAAACCATTTTCACAAAAATGTTGCATGTTATAGCCCTTTAAATTCTTTAAAAAATTGTATAGCATTCATTGCTGTAAGAATTTTGGTTTAAAAGTTATTGTAACATATGTTATTTTCTCATTTAAAAACCATAAAATAACAAAAATTGGATTTTTGAAAAAGAAAAAAAACGGTTTTGATTACATTTTTTTTTACTGTCCTTATTGCTTTAAACAAAATAGTGCAACTACCCGCTGCTGTAAAAATTACGGCTCAAAAATTATTGCAGCTTTAGTTATTTTACCTATTACTACTTACCCATGATAAAGGTTGTTAATCAAGCTAATGGGAGAAAGTAAGAGCCAGATTGCTGATACCGTTTATTCTATGTTCGTTCTATGGTGAACTTGTATACAGAGAGTAACCCACCAGTTACGTTACATTGAAAGGTGTTGAAAATATTTACCTGGAATGGTAACTGAGTGATGAATTTGTCAGGAATCGGCAACACATGGCTCCAAGGTACGACCTCTGTGTCACCGAAATCCACAAAGAACAACTCCACAGTATCTTCAGTTGGCTTGCCCCTAACCAGGGCTCGATTCCACCTGAGGGGTTAAAAATTACACCTCAAACTGAATTTCAACAGGAACAAGGTAAAATGATTTTCTGGCACAAATACAAAAAAATTCAAAATTAATACAATTTTTGTACCAACAAAAAATTATAAAATATCTGATAGTCGCTACAAAGGGTCAATTGACAAAACATCGCTTGAATCATCTGAATATTTCATACTTTCTCTTAAAAGCAAAATTATCTCTTTTACTACATAGTTTGGCAATGCACATGTACTTGCATGTTTCATAAACAGCAAGTTATCTCTAATAAATAGCATTGTTAGAAAACTAATCAAAAAACAAAACAATACAAATTTTTAACATACAGTAGAACCCCTCATATCCGGCCACCATGGGACCAAGCCCCTGGCGGGATAGCGATTTGGCTGGATAAACCAACCAACTATGAAAATGAAAATAATTCATACCTAATAATATTTAATCAATGCATGCTGTCAAAAGTATCATTTAAGTCTATTCTAGGATTATTTTTAGAAGAATTAACATGTTCGTAGAAATAAAAAAAAATTATTTATTTGTAAGTTAAAGTTGTAAAGGAATGAACATACGAGTATTGAGATTTCAGGTAACAAAAACTATTAGGCTAAATAATGGAAGTAAAAATTACAATAAATCGGCAATGAAGATTTTTAGGACCTAAATAGTAAATACATTTCTACTCAACTTTCTTATCTATTTTGTGAAATAATACAAAAGATTAATTTCCCAATCCCCATGTGTAATTATCAACCAACTGTTTAGAGGTTAGGCTTAGCTCAACTGAGTTTAGTGAAACAGTAAAATGTATTTAAACAAACAGATAAATAGTTTAGCTCAGACAAGTCGCAAAGACTAGTGCTTGCGTCTAAACATCTGTAAGCTTTGAGAAAAACATTTTGATATTGGCTTCCTGGAAGTGGCCTGATAAACAGAGGACCGGTAAAACCAAGGCCAGATATCAGGGGTTCTACTAAGTTTACCCAGTCCATGCAAAAAGGAAATTATGTTACGGATATTCTTCAGTGAATGATCAATTTAAACTTTGTGATAAATTTGTATAATGATTTTATGAAGTCACAAATTAAAACAACGTCCATCTAGATGGAATTAAACTTTCATACTAATTAGAATTATCAGCTCATCTCAAGACTATTAACATCCAAAACAAGGGTTATACTCTTTCTGTAGGTATTCAGGTGGGTACTACAGTTGACCCCCTCTTAACCGACCTCTCATTAACCATTAACCAATAATCGGATTATTCACCCTTGCTTGTAAAATGTTACAGTTTGTTTTATCCGACCTTGTTTAGTGGGCAGTTCGGTTTAACTGCTGGGGGAATCGACAATAAGTATGGGGGGACTGACGCGCAAGCGAGTTGCAGGCTCCCTTAGCACAGCGTGTCTCAACGCAGACTGAGCCACAGAAAACATACTACTATAACCCAGAATGCCAACCGCATGGTAAAAAGCATTAAGTGTTTTGAGAGAGCTTTGCCTGTCAATCGTAAGCAGCGCCACCAGCGTTGCCATTCACTCAGCATAGCAACGCTGGTGGCGCTGCTTACGATTGACAGGCAAAGCTCTCTCAAAACACTTAATGCTTTTTACCATGCAGTTGGCATTCTGGGTTACAGTAGTATGTTTTCTGTGACTGAGCTCAGCGGCGTACTGAATTACCATTGCCTACCATGACCCAAGCGTCAGCGGCCCGAACTACATCGTCAAAATCGGTACCGACTAATAGTATAGCGGTGGGCTCTCTAGTTACGTTTATACTCAATGGTGCTGTATAAAATAGATTGGTTTTTATGCCGCACCAAGACGCTTGTAAATAACAGCATTTTTATTTATTTATACATAGACATTACTAAATTGAAATCTGTTTCTAAAACGTTTTTTGAAACACAAGTTTTTATATCTTCTTGATACACTAATGTCTTCTTTTATTTTTATTTGTTACATGTTACATTTGTATAACATTGGAAACATTTGTATAACAAATTGACTTGTCCTATTTCTGTACAAACAGATCAATGGAAATAAAATATTCTTATTCTTAAACCTCCCTACTGTTTGTCGGAACAATGTTGGTAAGTTTGGCTGAAAAATATTCAGGCATCATTGGGAACAAAGTTTGCATAAGTTTGGCTGAAAAATATTCAGGCATCATTGGGAACAAAGTTTGCATTGATGTCCATCCCAAAGAGCTTCGTTTACTCAATAATTTTAATATTTGACTCATCAGTTGTTTTACGGTTCTAAAAATATTAAAGTAAGATGTTTAACTTTATTAAATGGTAAAATACCACTTACTCCTCACTTTCTGATGGTTTCCCCAAACAACAATCACCTTCTTCGAGCATCATGTGACAATTAGAAGGCTGTTTTTGAATACTTGCATGTTTTTGAATCTCTTTCATCAGTCTCTCCAAGCTGAAATAAGAATTGCACATTCATTTAGGTCCACAGACAGCAGAGGAAGCTAACTACCACACAAATACGTAGGTATAGTACATAAAACTATAGGTTTCAGTATTTTTTTGTTTTAGTAGGCCTATAGTAGTTGTAGTGCCTAACTACTTACCTGTATATAAATCTTTATTTAACAGATGATATTTTTTTGTTTACTAATTCATTCAATTATTATTGTTCACTTTATCTTTTTACTAAATATACATATTTTTACTCTTGTCTAGCATTTGTGAATTTACAACTTCAGTAGTCTTTTGTTAAACTAGGAAAATGCAAGAAGTAATTCTTAAGAATAATTTTGTCTATATAAACTTCACTGAAATGAAAGTTTGATCATTATACAAATAAATATAATAAAATATTGTAATACCCTGCATAAATAAATATTTACAGGGTGTCCAATAAGTACAAACAACTTATAAAAAAGTTAATGGGTAAAAATAAAATGAAAATAAAGAATATCATAACACTTTTTTCCTAAATGGCCTCGTTAGCGAGATTTTTGTTTCGTATGTATTATTTTATTTCTTAAAAACTACTTAAGGTATTAGGTACTTTCCTGTTAAAGGGAACATTCATTATTATTGATGATATTTTTAAACATCGATATTATATATTTTGATCTGATATCGATCGATATTAACAAATTGAAACATATCAGATGACAACTACGATAAATAAATGTTGTTCAATACCAACGAACAATTAAAAGAAACAAAACTTCTAAGCTAACGTTACTAACCAACGAATCTTGCTGTAAGTCAACATTTTAAAATTCCGTTTGATATTCTCCACAAGTCTTTTCTGTTATAAAATGAAATTTTGAAAAGGAAAACTTACTTTGTTATTTAAATATTAAAGATACCGGTATTAAAACAGAAGAAATGGATCGTAAAGGAAAATCAAAAATATTGATATATCGAACAAAACCATTGATAATAATTAATGTTCCCTTTAACAGAAAAGTACCTAATTGAATGTACAAATTTTAAAGAGTAAAAAGCAATTTCAGTGTATCTCTAGAGTGTATTGGATTTGATCAGTCTAAACAATAGACCTATACTGAGTGTTAATAAACTATGGATCTAGACAGAACTCTTTAACTCCGACTAAAAGACGTACTTGTCGTAAAACTTGCTTAGTCGTAAGAAGATTGCTTCAGGACCTTCCACTACAATGACGTGAACGTCCTCCACCTCATCCATTGGCAGCCAGGCCCACTGTGGAGAAGGCTGTTCAACTCTCTTCAGCACCATCTGTTCTTCTTGAGCTGCAACAAGTGTCATGACTTTCACGAAAATCTTGGATACAACAAAATCTTAGCTATATAACACAACGTTCTACAGTACCTATATTTCTATTATTATCATCAGATCAAAACTGATAAAAGCATCGATAGTCAAAGATAAAACAAATGGATTAAATTATAAGAATTGATTTAAATGTGCTAAGGATAAAGTTAAACCTCATGTTTTATCAGATTATATTTAGGCCTACATCAAATTATTCCTAATTTGTCTGGTAAACTACCGGTAAATCACTTTTCATCTGCTAATTGCTTCTGATTTTGGTGAAAAAAAAATTAATCGACTGATCTTAGTGGGCTATTTTTGTGTGGCCTAAATAGAAATCTGTTTGACTGTACGGTACATATTTGTCTACTAATGCCTTCTTAAGTGTAGAATGAATGGAATGATAGCTTCATTATCAACTAATATAAAAAGTTTTTCTGGTCAGGATCGTTTAATATAAAAGCCCAATCTGCCAAATGATCAAAGACAGATGGGCCAAGTAGTCTATCATATCAGCAAAAAACTAGTGACTTTTCTCCAGATCGAACCAGCAGCATTCAGATTACGAGGCAACTATTTCCACTCACCTAACTTACTCAGGTAAAAAATACACCTTACAGATTAGCAATAAAATACCCCCGCCGCAGCAAACCTGCCGACTAAGCGAATTTCCATTTGTCTTAATTGATTTTCAATAAAATATATTTTAATAACATTAGGTTTAACGAGTACCTAGGTTTGCTGCTACAAGGAAACTAATAAAGTGTGTTTTTTTGTAAAATATTGATAGCTTAGTACAAAATAAATAAATTTGATCAAAATACAAAATATATCCATAAACAAGCAAACTACAACATTTGACAATATTCTCCATAAGAATAACATGGGAATTTTAAATTTACAATTTTTTTAATTTTCTCCGTTACTATTAACCGAACAAAAATACTTTTATATACTAAATTAATTGTTTTTTTAAGCTCTTTAAAAAGGTCTAAAGAGAAATTGGGAAATTTTGTGTTTTGAGGGTCAAAAGTGAGAAAAACCTATTTTTACCCCATAAAACCCCCCGTAAAGCCCCGTTCCCATGGTCCGATCATGCTGGTTCGCAAACTCATTCAAGTTTATCCCGCTTTACACCTTTAAACCAAATTTCATCAAAATCGGACAAAAATTACTCAACTTATCGCGTTCACGGACGTATATATATATAAGTCTATATATACATATATAAAAATTTGAACGAATGGTGTTTTTGGCCTCTGGGGACATCAAAATGAAAAAGTAAATCGGTCCCGGGTCTAGGTCTTACCATGCCACCTACGGTAATAGCTACTTCCCTATAGGGAAATTCGCTAAAAACAAAGCATTCCAAGGTCCTCCAGTGATGGTCAAGTCTAATCAGAGATGTGGACAAGACTAAGTTAATTTGCGATGGATTGTTAGCCTAAGTCAATGCCAAACCAAGGGCGGTCCCAGGGGGGGTCACGGGGCCGTGAAACCCCAACCCAAAATATTGTTTATATATAGATTAACTATTATACTAGGGGAACCTTACCAGTAATAATTTTTATTGCAAATTGTTCTACCAAATTCATTGTAGTCTTTACAATTGCGGCAAACGAAAGGAATAATTACAAACTCTGACCTAAAAGTTCAAATATTTTTTGAACGTTATGAAAAGTAGGGGAGATCGGCAGACAGATGCTTTCAGCCACACACGGCAACGACAGTGTGCGATGCTGGCGTTCAACGTTCCGCCGCATTCTTCTTCTTCATTTAATTTTTTGGCATTTTATAAATTATCATTCATTTTTGGAAAACTTGAATTGGGTATTGGACAAAGAAAAGAAGTTGTATCAATAATCAACGCTTGAAAGGTAGGCCTACAGTAGACTCCCTCTTATCCGGACAAATTTTAACCAGACATCGGTTTCACCAGATTAAACTCAGGGGAAATGACATCTCTTTAGCATGAGAATTAATGCAACGAGATAAAAGCACGAGAATTAACATGCGTTTTAAATATTGTTATATGTGTAACAAAACGGCACGGAGGCAGCTGGACACTACTAAATCAGGAAAATAGGGGGCCCAGGATAGCTCAGCCCAGGGGTTCGTGACGGCTCTCGCTGGCCCTTATCAAATAATATTCATATTTAGAGCACCTGATATCACTAAAAAATATCACAACCCAATTGGTACCGTATGTTGCTAGCCACGAAACAAAAGCAAAATAAAAGGGTAGGCTAGTGTCTCAGACTTAGATGCGGACTTAGAGTGACAGATTTTATTCCCGGTATAACCACAAAAACATTTCACAAAAACTTTATACTTACAAAACTTTAGTAGCGCGAGCGTTGTCCCCTTGTAAAATGCCACTGGCGTGGAAAAAATTGAGAACACTGAGAATCAATTCTTCAGGCGGTAGTAGTGACGGCAACGGGCAACTTTAGTTGGGTAGTGTAGATTAACTGTTGCTTACTGTGCAGGTATAATGCATTTAAAATATTTAGTGGGTTCTATATTAAAAATCAATGTCAACATTAGAAAGTAAATATTCTGTTATACAATAAAATGGATTTTTGATGAGCCACTCAAACATTTTTGACTTAAACCTATTAAAAGGAACCAGTTTGGCTGCCAGACCTAATTTATTAAAAAACCGTATACAATTTCCCATGATATTCTTATAAAAAAGTTAATGGCTATCGGCATTAAAGGTAAAGCCTTAAATTGGGTAGCATCTTATTTGAAAGACAGGAAACAAATTGTTAGTGTCAGGTATTCTGGGCAAGATGGTTTAAGTCGCCATTATCGATCGGCCACCTCATCTCCTGTAAACACCGGTGTACCGCAAGGTTCCAACCTAGGCCCTGTACTGTTCTTGCTGTTCGTGAACGACCTACCTGAATCTGTCTCAATAGGAAAGATTTGGCTATTTGCAGACGATGTTAGCCACCTGGTGCAGGACAGAGACGAACAGATGCTTAGGCACAAAGCTCAAGATGGGTTAAACCAAATGAACAATTGGTGTAAGGACAACAAGCTGATTTTAAATAAAGGAAAAACCAAAGCTCTTCAATTCCACAACAGGAAAATCCCAGATAACTCACCATTACTCAAACTTGAAGGCACCAGTATCAAAATTGACAATCACATAAAGTATTTAGGCCTAACCATCAGTGACAATCTTAAATGGCAGGATCAGATCCAACAAATTTCGCCCAGATTAACAGCTGTGTGCCATATGGTCCGTAGGCTTAAGTCAATTGTTGATAATGATGTTTTAATGAAAATTTACTTTGGTTGCTTTCAAAGTATTGTCAACTACGGAATCTTATTCTGGGGAAACAGTCCTCTCGCAAGCAGAATACTACTTCTTCAAAAAAGAATAATAAGAACAATTTATAATGCTCCATACCTTGCCCATTGTAAAACCCTTTTTGTTGAAGCAAAAGTCCTTACGGTGCCAGCAATATTTATTTTGGAATCTGCACTAATAGTTAAGAAGAACCCGAACACGTTTCCACAAAACAATACAATTCACAACTACTCAACAAGGCAAAAAAACAACATTCATCTAAATCAAGTCAACTCAAGTTTAGTAAAGGACGGACCAAAGTTTTTATCAAGCTTAATCTACAACTTGATCCCTCTAAATATAAAAAGCATTGAAGATCAAGATGAATTCAAGAGGAAATTTAAAGAATATCTATTGAAGAGGCCATATTATTCTGTTGAAGAATATTTAAAAGAAAAATAGGCCAAAAAAACTGACGACCACGGCGCAGCTGCGCTACCAGTGGGAGATCACCAAGTATCAAGTAAGTATCAAGTAATTTATTTTATGGCAGTTATGTGTTTTGGCCAATCTATGGGCAGGGATTTCTAGATTGGATTTGCCTCTTGTATTGTAAGAGTGTATACTATCTCTACAAGTGAATTGATGTAGATATTCAATGGTTCAATATAGGGCCTACAAAAATATATTAATGGTACTAATGTCCGCCCATTTATTGCGCAATTGCAGGGTTTTATTAAAATGTATGTATTAGAAACTTAAAAACAATGTAAAGTATAGGCCTACTGTTTTATATATCATTTTGTTTGGGAAATTATGGGCTTCAATGTAATATATATAAAACATTTTCGTACAAAAAAAAAATTTCAACAATTTTTCTGGGGTAACATTTTTCAAAAATTATATAAAATAAATGAAAAAAATTTATGTTTGCGCTCAATAAATTTTTATAATTTATAAGTCTAGACAAATATTTTAAAATAGCCACTTTGTTCTAAATTTAATAAGGTTACAAAAATATAATAATATAGGCCCAAGGAAGTAAATTTGCAAATAAATAATGGGTGAAAAACAGATTTCGTACATTTGGCATTAGCGAAGAATGCATAGCCAAACCACAGCTAGGAATCTGGCTGATAATTTACATCAATATCACTATCTACTTCTTCAGGATCATCAACCAGCCCTTCAAAATCACTTAAATCTTCTTATAATGCACCACGTATAAGTTTATCACTACTTTTTATTTTTAACACTAAAACAATGATAATCGTAATAAAACACATCAGTGATCGGTGCGAGGTTAACCAAGTTGTTTACAAATACACACGTCAGCTGTCTGCTACAATATTTTTGGAACTAAAATGAAAAGCGTCTAGAAACAGACATCAGGAGAAAGCTTAGAATCTGCTGAAAACAACGATACCAATCTCGATCAAGTTCAATCTGATTCAGTTAGTCCCAGAGCCTTCCCCGTAAACGATGTTGGTGTGTCGCAAAAGCGACGCATAACACCACGGCGGGTGTGTTGTGCGCCGATTATGCAACGCTTAACACTCGGAGGGTTAACAATTGAAGAGGCTAACCTCAAGTTACCTAGGGCAAATACTTGAAGTTAGGGTAACTTACTTGTCTTCCGTATCTGTTGGCACAAACACCTGAATGGAAATATCGATTAGGCTATTCGATTGGTTCATTCAATATAAGTTAGATCGCTATTTTCATTCGGTTGTTTATGTCAACAGATACGGAAATCTACCCTCAAGTTACTTAATGATTAATAAAACTTACCGTGCTGTAATGAATAACTTAGGCCTAGGCTAATATAAAAATTGAAATTTCTTGTAAATAATAGTGCTTTCAAATATTGACTTTTGTGATTATTAATGTGGATAAAGGAAAATTTCTAAGCTTATGAATGACAAAAAGTACAAAAACAAAACTAAGTAGCCTTTTAAGTTAGGCCTATAGCCTACTATGTTAGCCTCTTAAATTGGTGTGTAGGCTTAAGTTGCTCAAATACGGTACCTAAACAAATTTTTTAAGTTACTTTTTGTATCAAGGTAGGCTAATTTATAGACTAACTTAATCCTTTAACTTTATTAGATGATAACAAAGTTGTGCAAGGCCTACTGCCTAGTACTTGAGTGTGAGGAAAATTTGCATAGGCTAGGCTTGGCTATTATTATAAAAGACAGGACATGACATAACCTACAAAAGATGTTTTAAGCTCATGCGTTGAAGATTAGACCAGCATCACGATGTAGTTTTAAACATTAAATGAAAACATGAACCGGCCAATAAAATAAGTAAGAAGTATAACATAACAACCACACAAAATAATTGCAACTAGCTTAACTTAGAAACTTACAGGTCATTCTTGCGCTTTTAATTTCTTCCAAAATGAAAATACCGGCACCGGCAATGGATTGCGGATTGGAAATCCGGCAATTCAATCAAAACAAAATCCAACCAACTCAACTCAACTCGACTGCAACTCCACGACCTTCTAGTCGAAGGGGGAGGTGCAGCTGTCGCGCATGCGTACAAGCACTGCTATGCTGTCACTGTTATTTGCACAGTTAGCATTGTTAGCAATAGTAAACTTTTGGTTCCGTTCCACGGCCACCGTGTAACCGTTATAGCTGTTTGCAGGTTTGTAAAGTTCTCCAAACCACAGGCTGAGGCTGGCACTAAAGCCGTGAAGCATAGGTCTCTTTCTAGCTAGGGCTAGGCTAGAATTATATTGCTAACCATTTTAGTGGTGGATTTTATTATTATTTTCGTTTAGGCCTATTATTACCATAGACAATAAGAATTCTTTTTGTCTATGATATTACTTGCTAATAGTAATTAGGATGTGTTGGTTTACATTTTTACACCCTTTAAAGCTTAAATCCTCAAAGCTATCCGCTAATCTGTGAGAATGTTAAAATGTAGGCCTAGGTCAAAAAGAGGCCTAGCCAAAAACTAGGCTAGAAATTATGGCTATCAGATCCGCATTCTCATCTAAAGTAAAGTAAGAGTAGGTACATAGGCCTACCTACACAAATAAGATTTAAAATACAAACTAAAATACTAAGCTCGATTATCGTTGGCAAAAAGGCAGCATTTAACTTGGCCTATTTAAAAGTTTTTGTGCTTTATAGATGTGTATTGCCGTACCCACTAGCTGTTATACCCAGCCACTCTCCTACACACTGTTATAGCCCTTTAGTATTACGGACAGCTTTGTCATCATTCAAATCTCTCTATTTCTAAATGGCTTTTAGTAAATATGATAATCTAAAATTACGCCGAAGAAAATAGTTTATTACAAGTTTTACATTCAATATTAAAAATTAATCGAAGTTAACATAACTCATCCACATCCTTGGTCTAAGTTAGTACCTTTAAACTTTAACTCGAAGTTCGAGGTTGTGAAAGGAAACAAAACAAACAAACCAAAATAATATCTGTCAAACTGAGTGAGTATGCGTGGCAACTCCGTTAACGGTTACAACGTTACAAGGTGTAGTGACTGGGAACGGGAAGTAACGCAATAGGTTCTCAAAACTGCTACTGCTACTTTGAAAATAACAACAGTGACAGCTTGTGCGCATGCGCGACATCTGCACCTCCCCCTTCGACTAGAAGGTCGTGCAACTCCACTCCATCACTCCAACTTCCAACTCCATCCTGCCTCTAGTCCCTACCCCACGCTCAACTCCACTCCACCAGTCGGCTCGGCACCGAGGACTGGACTGAACGACTGACAGACTGAACCTTTGCATTGAACCAACCCGATTAGGCCGCGGCTCCATTTGCCGTAGATTGCCGCGCTGCAAATTGTAGCCGGTCAGTTGACGAAATGGGAAGGCAGCGATCAAACGAAGGTGGCTCCACTATAGTTCGGCCGCTTAGAAAACGACCTGCGCGCTAATGCTAAACCAATGCTGGAGGAGGTCGCTTTCTAAGCGGCCGAACTATAGCGACAGTCTGCAGCGCGCTACATTTGACGGCGCGCCGTAGAATGGTAGGGAGTATGTTTTATCTATGGTAGAATGTAGCGTCGCGCGGGAATGGAACTCGGAACATTTTCGCGCTACATTTTGCAGCCAACATGTGGCTCCACTAGCTGTAGATTGTAGTGCCGCGCCAAGTCACTGTACGTACAGCCGACCGGCATACAGGCACAATTATTAAATTATTATATCGGGAGTGTGGGAATCTTGTTTTATATAGGTTAAGGTTGTCTAGAGGTTTCCTACTGTATATTATAAAGTAATACAGTAGTGATTGGAGAAACAAATAGTGAAAGCATTCCATTGGTTTTTAAATGCAGCAGTCATAAAATTGTTATGATTATTAGACCTATGATGAAAAGCTCCTAATGGCTGTTTTAGATTATTATTAATAGGTACAACAAAAACTCACGAAACTCATTGATATTCAGCATACATTGGTTACTTAGAAATATTACTTCTGAGGGTATATGAGTGAAATAAAACTAAAATGGAAATAGAATAGAAATAGAGATAAAATGACCATTTAAAGTAGAGTAATTCGACACATCGAGGATTGTTGAAGCGAGGGTTCACTACTGTATTACAATTAATGAGTTAAAATTCAGTACACTAAAATTACCTTAATGTCACTGAAAGCCTTTCCTCTACTCCAATTGCTTGTCATAGTTTGGTATCCTTCGTCTTCAAACGTGTTGATACTGCTTCTATTAATTAATAAAAAGCGTTTTGGGACATTCGATAATATTAAAAAAAATTCTGAATACTTTTGTAGTTTAGTATGCAATGTGTGGAACATCCCTTCGGACTTTCTGTTGTATTGGATAGATCCACCATTTTCGCTGCTGTGATCGGCGTCGTCTTGATAAAAGTACACTGATAAAAACACTATGAATGTTAATTTGCGGCATGATCCAGGGCCAAGTTGACCTCGGCGCTACTGCTAGTGGAGCCACGGTGCATGTGAGGACGCTGCAGATTGTAGTTTGTACTCTGCTGCTAGTTTCCAATTCCAATTCTCAATCAGCAGATTAGGTAAACTGATTTATTTGGTAATGAAATTAAAGGGATACAGTTATTTGTTTAGTATTTTAGCATTAACGCCATGAACGTTGACACTATTGCTTTTGCCTACAAATGCATAAATAACAATTCAGTTAAGATTCTTCCAACATCTGCTGATATTTATAGAAAAATAGTGAGAAAACTTAACGAGAGTAATGTTAGCTTCCATATATTTCAGCTTAAACAAGATCGAGCATACAGAGTTGTATTGAAGAATATGCACTATTCAGTTGATACAGAAGAACTAAAAGAAGCACTACGACAGATGGGTCATGAGGTAAGAAATATTTCTAATGTACTTCATTCTCATTCAACCACCAAACAGCCACTGTCAATGTTCTTTGTTGATTTAGAGCCGAGTTCAAATAACAAAGACATCTTCAATATTCAGTATTTGTTACATGCTAAGATAACTTTTGAACCCCCTTATAGGAAAAGGGAAACTGTTCAATGTAAAAGATGTCAACAATATGGTCACACAAAAACCTACTGTAGGCATCCATTTAGATGTGTTAAATGTGGAAAAGAACACGATACAATCAAATGCACTAAAGACAATTCTACTCCTGCAATATGCGCCTTGTGTGGAGGAGATCATCCAGCCAATTACAGGGGATGCATGGTCTTCAAAAATATCCAGAGTCGAACACATCCCCAGGCTCGAGGAAGAACTACCGTACCAAACCAAGCTGAAGTTACTCAATCATCACATTCTGCCTCTTCTGACAATCTAACACGTCCTGACACTTCGTATGCGGAGGCAGTTAGCAACTCACGAGTAAGTAACAAAACTAAACCCAGCACAAGTTCTGATAATGTGAATGCACGCACGCCAAGTAATGCTTCTAGTGATGCATCCACAGAAAAGTTAAGAAATACAATAACTTCATTCTTTGATCGGTTTGAAAAACTGTTTATGCAACAATCTAAACAAATAGGTTCCTTACTTGACCTACTTACAACTGTTCTTAAAAAGCTCAATTAATGGTGAAAACCTTGAAAATAGCCTTGTGGAATGCTAACGGCTTGGCACAGCGATGCCAAGAATTAAAACTGTTCATTGCTAAACATAAGTTGGACATTATTCTTATTTCTGAAACTCACTTTACTGATTTAAACTTTTGTAAAATTCCAAATTTCAGTCTATACAACACTAACCATCCTAGCAATAGAGCTCATGGAGGTTGTGCTATCTTGATTAAAAGTCATATCAAGCACCATGAATTGCCAAAATATCAGTTCGATTTCATCCAAAGTTCATCTGTTGTAGTGGAGTTTGAGACAGGCCCACTTACTATAAGTTCTATTTACTGCCCACCTAGACACAACATTACACGCCAACAGTTTAATGATTTCTTCTGCACTTTAGGCTGTAAATTTTTGTCAGGAGGAGACTACAATGCCAAACATCCTACATGGGGCTCCCGTCTGGCAACTCCTAGGGGTCGACAACTATTGCAGTCAATCCAAGAACGGAACCTTGATACTCTATCGACAGGTGAACCGACATATTGGCCCTCTGATCGTCAAAAAATACCAGACCTTCTTGATTTTTTTGTTACAAAAGGTGTATCCCGAGATTTTGTGACAATCGAGCAATCTCTGGACCTTTCCTCAGACCACTCACCTGTAATTTTAACGATCGCTTCAAATGTTATATTCAAACCTATTCCACCACATTTGGGCAACAAAAATACAGATTGGAATTATTTTCGTGAATTAATGGATCAAAATTTAAAGATTTCTGTGTGTTTGAAGAGCGAAGAAGATTTAAATCTTGCTGTTGAACATTTCAACAAAACAGTTCAAGACTCCGCTTGGAGAGCAACTCCAGACCAGAATAAACATAATTTAAAATCAGGAATACACTATCCAATTGAAATTAATAGGAAAATAGCCGAAAAACGCCGACTCCGTAGAATATGGCAAAACTCTAGAGACCAGACGGATAAAAGAAATCTAAACAGGGCCACTCAACAACTGAAAAGGTTACTGTTTAAATTAAACAATGACAGATTTCAAGATTTCACATCAAACCTTTCTCCATCTGAAGCTAGTGACTACTCCCTTTGGAAAGTTACAAAAAACTTTAAACGTCCACAAATTTTCATTCCACCTATTCTAAAAGAAGACGGTTCTTGGGCCAAAAACAACATCGAGAAAGCAGATGTATTTGCTTCATACTTCAAGGAAGTGTTCAAGCCATATAATATTAATTCAAATGTTGAGCAAGAAATTTTGGAATTCCTCGATTCTCCAAATCAACTTGATTTACCAATAAAATTGTTCACACCATCTGAAGTAGCTAAAGTAATAAAAGACGATTTAAACGGCAAAAAAGCCCCCGGTTATGATCTGATAACAGGTAAAGTGTTGAAAGAGCTTCCTAGAAAAGGAATAGTTTTCCTTACAGTACTTTTCAATGCAGTTTTACGCCTTGAATACTTCCCAATACAGTGGAAGGTTTCACAAATTGTTGTTATTCCGAAACCTGGTAAACCTTTAAATCAAGCATCCTCGTATCGGCCTATATCTCTTCTTCCTGTGGTTTCCAAAGTTTTTGAAAAACTTTTCTTAAAAAGACTCCAAATTATAATTGATGAAAAAGAATTGTTGCCTTCCCATCAGTTTGGATTCCGCCGAAGGCATTCTACCATTGAGCAAGTGCATAGAATAGTGAATGTAATCAAGGAAGATCTTGAAAATAAACGTTTTTGTTCATCTGCTTTTTTGGACGTAGCCCAGGCGTTTGATAAAGTCTGGCACACAGGATTATTGTTCAAAATTAAAACTTTGTTGCCCCATACATACTATGGAGTGTTGAAATCGTATTTGTCCAAACGCTTTTTTCAAATTAAATATCAAGATATAGTTACAGATGTGCATGAAATTGAATCAGGTGTACCACAAGGCAGTGTTCTTGGACCTATTTTGTATATTTTGTTCACTTATGACCTTCCAAGTACTCAGGGTATTACGGTTGCAACATTTGCAGACGACACTGCTTTTTTATCATCAAATCAGGATCCTATTCTGGCATCATCAAACCTTCAGGCTGCATTAGACGATTTGCCTCAGTGGCTACAGAATTGGAAAATTAAAGTAAATGAAACAAAATCCGTTCAAGTTACATTTACTATGTCTACAAGAACTTGTCCCCCAGTAACATTTTTGAATAATGTCATGCTTCCACAATCCAACGAAGTTAAGTACCTTGGTATGCATCTCGACAGACGGCTTACATGGCATTCACACATTTGGAACAAACGACTTCATTTAAATTTAAAAACAAACAAACTAAATTGGCTCATTGGTCGAAATTCAAAATTATCTGTTGAAAATAAATTACTTTTATACAAATTTATATTGAAACCTATTTGGACCTACAGTATCCAACTCTGGGGAACCACTTCCAACTCAAACATAGAAATAGTTCAAAGGTTTCAATCGAAAACACTGAGAAAAATTTTACAAGCACCTTGGTTTGGTTTGTCACAAATAAAGTAATTCATCAAGATACGAAATTACCCTATGTTAAAGAAGAAATAAAGAAACGAAGTGAAAAATACCAAAGAAAATTAGAAACCCATCCAAATTTCCTGGCTGTTAACCTCCTCGACAATAGTGAAGCTACATATAGGCTCAAAAGAGTTAATCCAATAGACCTTCCAAATCGTTTTTAGTTAAACTTTAAAAAAAAAAAAGTTTTTAAAGTTTTTGTATGTTAGTGCACTTGATGGAGTGTAACTAACCCATGTTAAAATGGTTATTGAATTTACTTATTATTCTCTTGTTGAATAGATTGTAAATAAATACTTGTAAAAAAAAAAAAAAAACGCCATGAATCCAAACTTCTCCTTCCTCACGTTTTTTACGAATAGCTGCATTTTTCCCCTACATAACCCCCTAATGTTAATACACCATTTTAAAGATAGATAAATAAGGAAGTTTTTTAGTTAGTTGAATATTCGAATATCAAACATTTTACTGACTTTTTTTAGCTATAAAATTTAAACAGAATTTTTAATAAAAATCAATTTTACATTTGAAGCTATTTGCAAACCATTGTATGAAGAGTTGTTACTTTGGTATTGTGTTTAATTTGCAGTAAATTTAACCCTCTTTCAAATGATACAAGTTTTAATATATTTCAAACGTGGGTTTGGCTTATAACGTTAAATTAACAGTGAAAAGTCCTGTTATTTGAAAAAATCACAAATGACGCCATAACAGCTAAACGGTAAAGGTCAGACCAGGGTTTACATTTTCTGGTTTCGTTTGATGATTAGAATAAGCTGTTAAAATAAATGCATTCAGTAGTGACTCACCCTGTATAAGATTCAAATATATGGAAATTTGCTTAGTCGGCAGGGTTGCTGCGGCGGGGGTATTTCTCATAAAATGTCCGTTGTATTGACTTTATTATGTTTTTTTTTCAATTCTACATCCTAAGAAGCATAGAAAATGACACCCTATTGTTTGGATCCCATAAATAAAAATGTTCCCAAAAATCACTACCCCCAATTTTTAACCTCCCTAAAATTGTACCCACCCCCCAATCACTAGGGACTCATCAGATTGAAAAAACTAATGGTAATTACTATGTTTCCAGCAAGTTTCATGAACAGACTAATTTTTATGTTTTCTACTTGGCAGAATTTTACCTATACTACTTTCCTATTACGAATGTGTAAACTGTAAACTTATCACTCAGTGAAGAAAAAATGAAAATAATTAACTCACATACAACAGGTTTTAACTTGTTTATTATAAAACTCTCAATTCATTAACCTTTCTATTGGTTTATATTAAATTAGGAAATACCAATACAATGGTTGAAAGAATTCTAAGACTAGTACTTACAAAACAGAAATAAAAAAATAAAGACAAACGTATAAACAATTTCCTTAAACATAAAAAACAAAAACATAATAATTAAATCACAGTTATAAGCATTAAAATAAGAACAATATTAAACTATGGGATAACTGCAAGTTCACAAAACCCTTTATGCAAACATATGTGGTTTAAATATCAAATTACAAAATTTTTTAATGGATGGAAATACATATTTGAAAATATAAGTTATTTCAAGGAATCAATTTAAAACTATCATTCTCTCGCTCATAAAAAGAGAATGAACATGGTAAGATCAATAAAGTTTAGATACCAATTAACTTAACATATCTTCAGATCCAGGAATCCAGGTAGCCTAAAAATGACAATTGGTAGGCAAAGGCCCACAATTCCCAGGCATCAAATACTATACATTTACAAGATAAATGGAGATGTGAGGTTGCATTTAAATAAAATTATTTGTGGAAATTAAATTAGGTCGACAACACTAAAAGTAGAATATTCAACACATCTCAACCTGAAATCATGTTTATATAACACTTTTATGTAAAACTAATAAAAGTACTGCACATTTGTGCCATTTTACTTTTATCCATCATATTGATAAAACATATTGGAAAATATGGAATCTTCAACATTACAAGACACGATTGTGATACAAAACACACAAGCTCAGTCTGTCAGTCCTATTCTCAGTCAAGTTAAATAACAGTAGTTAGAAAACTAGTTAACTACATAAAAATAGCATCACAAGCTAGAGCAACAATAAAATGCTTAACGAGCTAAAACCAGTATCAAATTTTACAATAAACTAAATAACAGTAAGAAACTTGATACAAACTTTGTTTGTACTTTAACTCTTCATAGTGACACTAGATTTTGTATAAACGTATGCTTGCAAAACTGTCTTTTCGGGAAACTCATCACAGTCATCACTACAATTCTGTAATAAAACCTGTATCATGAAACAAAACACATATCTCTCGAAATCAACTTTTCATAAACCAATCTCTATAGAAAATATATGCATAATAGGAAAAATGCTCTACGTTTCACAGCACCAAAACTGATCACTTATGGTTTCAAAGACACTAGTGCTCTTCACATGGATAACTCTGAGTTGGCTAGTTCGGACATTTCCGAAGATGCAATGGAGGTAGGTGTTTCTGTTCTATTGTCGCAGTATCCGAGTCTGATCCTCATATCTTCAAGTTCTAAGTGGGGGAAAAAGATGTAAAGATAAATAGCTCAAATAAGTAATCAATGAAGCAGAACTTGTAGGAATGTAATAATAATAGGTCTTATCCAGCAATAACATTTCTAATGTTGTTGGTTCCAATGTATTGTGTGACAAATACAAGAGCAAGCAGCAATAGCAATTCCACAAATCAAATTCATTGTATGGTTGAACTGTCTATTAAATATTATCTTAGATCAATTGTGATATAATTGATATAAATTTGAATTAAAAGAAATAGTAAATATATGAGTGAAATAGCAGATGACAAAAGGGCTTGAATAAGCTAATGGAAGCTTATAATAAATGATTTGTTGGATCCAAGTTCCAAATTTATAAATTGGGCAAAATTTTATCCACCTATCGAACTTAGGACACACAATAGCATGTTTAAAAGAAATTGTTCTATTGGGCTTAACATAACACTTTTGTACAAAACTACATCTATTTATCAGACACTCCTCAGATCACATTAACATTTTTTTGTGTATAATAAGAATTGAATAACAAAATTTAAAATCACTAACCTGATGCTTCACTTCCAGAATCAGGACAAACTTTTTCAAGATTCAACTTTAGCCAATGCAGCCTCTCCTCGTTCCTTGTAAGTCTTGGCCACCATCTTTTCTTTCCTAAAATCAAAAAGAAAATATTCTTTTAATTTGGGTCATCTCTTTACAGTTAGGCTAATGAATTAAAAAGAATGTGGCTGTACTTGTAGTTATAGCATAGTAAGTTTTTTCTGGGATTGTGGTTTAAATTTTGCCAATCCTCAAAGATTTTTCATTTATTTTAATAAATAGACAAAAGGCCACACTAAGTCACTTTACCTAACCAAAACAGCCTACCAACAGTTATGCATTTTAATAGTTAGTTCTGAAATAGTAATCATACAAATTCATTTAGGGGCGTGCTAATTTCACGCAAGCCTACCTATGTTTAAAAAAGCTTTGAAATAAGTGTAAATCGTTAGTTCTGAGATAGTTCTATCAAAATGTTGATGGCACTGAATGGCTGTGGTGTCTATCATGTCCCTAGGAAGTGTTATTTAACGTTCCTGTCTGTGATATTCTGTGGCCCCAACGTCATGAGATTTGAGCTAATGTGGATTTTTTTTCATCTAAGCATTCTCAAATTTTGCGCCTACACTCACAATCCGCGTACTCTGGTGGATCTTAAAGGAAGCAGGGTTTGGCAGAAAAAATTGTAGATGAGCGTGACATGCTGGGACGTTTAATGGAAGAATATAAGAAAAATGATTCTCAAACCTGTATAAAAGTGGACTTCTGTATTTTTTTTAAGTAAAGGATATCAGACTTGTTTAGCCAAGAATGTTAGGTAAATAGTGTACTCTTAAATGGCAAGGGTTTACAAACATTTTAATGTACCTAATACAAGTTGTAATTGAAACAAAAACAAATGAGCAATGCTTATTTTAAGACAGGTTTTTCTCGGCCACCCTTTATATAAATATTTAAGATTTTTACCTTTTAGCATCTTCTCAAGTTTTATCTCTACGTAGAAAGCCTCTGCAGAATGTTCAGCTCGATCTCTATGATGAGCTCCAAACAGAGTCAAATCAACTTGATACATCACTCCGCTATACTTGGCACTGTAAAAAATAAACGTCATCAGCAATATTTTACATACGTTCTCCCTTTAGCTTCTCAACAACTGTTATCATGAACAAGCGGAGGGAGTAACTATGGTATTTTAAGGGTAAAATAACTAAAGTGGCAATAACTTTTGAACAGCAATTTAACAATATTGGGCTTGTGTAAATTACAAGGACCATAACATCCTTGAGAATCAGAGTTTTACATTATTTTTTTGATTTTTATGGTAAAATTACCTAAAAATATATAAATTTAATGTAACTTTTTAAGACTGTTGCACTTATGAGCATTATCTAATAAATATTTATTTTCTAACCATAATAAATTAGTTCAATACTGTAAATCTGTTACCAGAAAGAATATCTGCTACACTTGCCAAGCTATTGAGTGAAAAAAAGAGTATAAGACTGTAATTTACCAATTTATTCATAAATTTTGCTATTCAAGTAAAACAATACCACATATGGGTTGTGTATTGTTAAAATAAGAATGAAGAATCGTAAAAGAATTTTTAGTTATCTCAAGGAGTTTTGACTATAAAAAAATATTACCTGAAATTGACGTTGCCAATGTCAAAAGTGATATTGTAAGCTTCGAGGGCTGGTAGTTTTATTTGTATAAACACAAAGATATCATCCTGATACCATTCTACCATCGGGGTTCTGATTTCATCTGACTGTACAGCAACTTGTGAAAACGACAAGTCCTCATTGATGTGAGACTGATCAAGTGAGCTGTCTGATTCAGGTATACAACCGATCCATTGCAGTGTTCTTGGATCTTCATCTAGATCATCGTCTTGAAAAGCAGAGGGAATTTGTGAAAGCTCTTTCAAACGAGGACTGATGTTTTGAGCAAATGGAAGCAACGGTGAACCGCCGGACTGGCCTAGAATGTTGGAAGTCATTAGTTCCTTGACATTCCAGTTTTTCGCAGAAGTAGATAGGTGAGATTGTAAATGTCTATGAGTGAGAGGCGTTGATAAAGCCTCCGGTAGTTGTTCCACTTCAGACAAGGACAGAGATGAGATGGGAGGATTGATGGTGTTGCTGGGACATTCACTCAAGTCCTCACTATCTGCTGGAGGTAGAGCCCAGCAGGAGTTTGATCTTTCTGCGTCATCCTGTCAAACAAACAGCATCAATAGTCATTGGCTCAATAAATGAAATAGTAGCAAACTTCTACTTAATCAAAGTTTACAATGAAACAGTGTTCAGTTTGCTTTATTTGTGTATGATGCATCGCAATGGACATTTGTATATCGATTAATCCGTACTATTTTAACCAACAACTCGACACAAACTGTGAATAAGCAAGTTAACACGTTCGCGGCGGCACGTCAAATGGCGGGCGTATCCCAGGTCCGGCGCAGCCCTCAGCATCGAACAAACCCGATTGCCGCGTGTGATTGGCTTTCCAATTTCGGGCTGACAAATAGCAAATAACGTGCGAGGATGTCCTGCTTTACAACGAGAGTCGACGTAGTTCGCTAAACACCAACAGATAGCAGCACTGCTTGTAACGTAGCCGGTCCCATTGGAATTGTATTGCCAAATGGAGGGAAAAATATGGGACAAAAGTAGAATTTTGAGATTGCCAGACGGGGATTTACGGGAAGATTTACTACCAACCAACACCACAACAAAATACAGTATACTATTGAGCAGTGCTGTGCGAGGTTTCAAGTTTCTAGCTCTAATCCTGGCTTAAAAATAAATCATTTCTTACTGCATTGCAGCTTGGGAGCGATCGCACCCACCAGGATGGCATTAGGGTTCCGTATGGGAGCAATCGCTCCCATGCCGCCGCGAACGTGTTAAAAACAACCTATGACTATGAAATAGGTTCTACCTCAATCAGGTAGAAATTAGTTTTAAAAAGAGACAAAAAACTAAAACAAAATAAGGGTATTCCTATAGGTACATTAAGTTTCAATATACTAAACTTCGTTGGGGGACATTTTTCCTAAATTATTGTTTTATAATTAGGCTTTATATATTGCAAACTGAAACAAAATGGTAAACTGTCTTGTGTCCATTTAAATAACACATGGAATAATTATAATTTTTGTCAAACCAAGGTTCCAATTGAAGGAGAGCCAATTTATGTTGAAACAAACCCTCAGATAAAAAGGGATGGTAGAAATCAGTATATAATCTACATTAACCTCAGTTCAATGTAACCATTCAATTCCAACCTCCTCTTCCGTTAGATTATAACCCGTTAGCCTAGGTGGGTTAGTATCGTAAAATGAAAATTTTTTTATAATTGTGCTTATGATACAAAAACATCTCTATGGCTCACAGAGTTGGCGAAACTGAAGATATCAACCATATAAAAAGCTATATTTAACGAGAACTTTCATTATTGTTCCCACTTACAATAGGTACATAACAGTTCAGTTAAGGTATTAAGGTTTTGCATTAAGAGTCTTTGGAGTCTAGCAGCTATTTTGGATAATTTCAAACAACTGCTGAAGTGTTATAGTCCGTCCGTTTGACTATGATACCCAGCGGATTATGGACCTTCTCGGAACTCAACTCACCCTCTCGCCCCGTTCGTCGGGCTGGCCGGAGACAAACAGTGACTCACCCACTGTCACAGTCCCACAGATCTGTAACTTTTGTTTTAAGTTAAAATACATTTTTCTTTATAAATTTGAGTTCTTCATGCAACTAAAAAAAATAATGAGTCCAAACACGATGTGAATACTTAATATCTATGATCTGAAAGCAGTACAATTACTCTGTATCATCACCAGCTTTGTCCGACTTTCAGATCTGTATCCACATCGTGTTTGGACTCATTATTTTTGGAATTTCATGTAGAACTCAAATACCTATGGGCCTACATTGAAAATTGATTTTAACTTAAAAATAAAAAATTACTGATCTGTGGGATAGGGCAGATTTTTTACCTACCTGACTGTAGGTAGGTAAACTTTTTATCAGTTTCACAAGTACAAGTTCAAACATAAATGAAGTTGTCTCACAAACACACAACAACAGATTTATACTCACCTTCACTGTGTTCATTATTTGCAAACATTTTACTTATAAATTATTAGTCTTTCAAACATTAAACAACACATTTTACGTTAGGTTAGATACAAGCCTTGAATGACAATTGTTAACACGCAATGACAGGCTTAATGCTTATAGGTTACACTAAGTCGTATCAATGATCGAATCAAATTACGAATAAACTGACGTATATACAGCTGATTAAAGTCGTAGTTTCTTTAAGCGTTGACAACTTGTTTTCAAGCATTCTCGTATTACCTGCCAAATACAATCACACTTTTTTGTGTTGTTTGGTTGAAATATTGGGGTGCGACGAAGTAAAATGAGGGTGGCAAAGTAAATGCAAGAATTAGCTACTTTGTGTCCTGTAATCAGTACAAGAAAGTTTGATTTGTTAGGTTAACAATAGGAATATGTTATTTAAATATGGAATAGATCTGACCATTTTAATGAAACGTTTTTTATTGAAAAAGCAATCCAAATGGGAATTTGCTTAGTCTGCAGATTCACTTCAGCTAAGGTATTTGTGGGAATTATTTGAATGAGAACTAATTTTTGAGTTTTCAAAACTGAAAATATCTTAGTTTAAATTTTATTTCAAGGGTTTGAGAATAAGAAAACATAGATTTCCAGGGTGTCTACCAGTTGATTAAACTAAATTTCAGGGACTTTTTTAGAGGGGTACAACAACTTTAAGAGTGAATATGCAGGACCCTTGATACCTTTATGAAAATAATACATTTTCAGTGACCTATACATGAGATAGTCGGGCATAGAATATTTTATGCCATAACAATTTGAGCTGGTTGCCCGCTCCCAAAATCTGTTTGATCTCACTGATTCAGCATTAGGCCTCTTTTAAGCACAGTGTTTTCCGTGGGGCTGAATCTATCAGAATCTATCAGGCTTTCCGTCAGTGAGTGTTTTAACATGGGACCCTTTTATGCATGACGGAATCTCCGTCGCGTTTCAGCGTTCCTTCGGGGGCCGACGGAGGACTTATTATGGGAATTCAGGGTGTCCACCAGGGCAAACCAGGAAAAATTCATGAGTAATTCATGAGTAAAAAAATCCAAGTAGGCCTAGTTCAGTTCGTACTTTTCATACTAAAATTTCCAACACGTTTTGCGCCAAACCTCACAATGCTGTTTTAGCGCTAACACAGCTCGCTATTTTAGTTTAGTTATTGGAAAGAGAAACAAAAAACAGTTAAAGACACAAAATTTATGATTACTGTAATATTGCCTGACACAAGTATTCAATTTTGATATATTAACTGATTAAATACTCCAAAAATTAAAAACTAATCCTTAAACCTGCAATTTGTCAATAACTTCTTAAAAACAGTGATACCGTATGTCGATACCAAATTTTTTGAATCTCTGTACAGACACCCGAAAAATAGAGTCTTAGTACTGATAATTTCAATTTTACCAAACTATCTGTAATGATTACTACACCAACCCCTGTCTTTATGTACGGTACTTTCATGTAATTTTGGAGTTATAGGTTGTGTCTCAAGTGACCTGCAGAAATAATTAATGCAGAAACTAGAAAAATTTCACGTAGCCAATTTAAATTTTAAACCCTTCTAAACACATTAAATAAATACCACATTAAAGGTAAATGAAGATATTACCTACAAAATATAAAAAATAAAACGAGAAGAAGTGTGCCATTTAGAAATTTTTGGTCAAGCCAAACTCGAGGTTATATCGTGATCATCTAACGTCGTAGAGACACCATCATCGTTTTATACGATAACTAAAAAATCCTGAATATCTCACTCAGTAACAGAAACATGACCACTGTCTTTAGTAGTCGTGACAAAAATCTGATATTTTTCAGTGGTAACGGAAACATTATAATCCTCTCCTGCGGTCACGGAAACGGCGTCGTCGTCTCCCGCAGTCACAGAAACGCCATCGTCTCCCGCGGTCACAGAAACGTCATCTTTATGCGCAATTGTGGTAAATTGAAAATTTCCGGTAAAATACGAAATTCACGCATAATTCCCTGTTTTTTCCCGGTTCAAAAAATTCACGCATAATTCCCGGTCGGTGGACACCCTGGAATTGTTGTACAAAAGGCAATCACACCATCTCATTGGCAACCCTGCAGTACTGCCAACACTATCATTGCTGCCAACCCTAAGACTTTCATTCACCGGGTGTAAACTGTACAGCCCACCTCCATCGCCGTCGTCTATTTTTCTTTACACACAAATATGTATAAACCATTAAACAAGTATCCATCTTGGGTCACTGACGATAGAAAAATGAACAAAGTTGGCAGCAATGACCACCCCCATCGTAACAAACTAGCAGATTCCGCTTGGTGGAGAAACTGCATAAAAGAGGCCTTATGAATCTAATCACTGCCTACAGCTGAGTGTTAAACAAAAGACAGAACTGGGGAACTAAATTTTAGTTAGGCCAGACTTCTTCTGTTACTTTTTGGCCCCTTACAATGGAAAATCAGTGACTTATTAGTTATTTCCCGTGACTGGCAGACACCCTGGATTTACCAGCACAAAACATCAAATAGTTTTCTTCAACCACCCAAACACACCAAAAACCACCGCACACGAACAAAAGATAAAGTTTCTATACCTCATCGGCCTCTAGTCAAAACCATGACTGAAACGGCTGCTGCAAAAATGCAATTTCATCCTGCAAGCAAAAAGTGATAGTTTGACCCATGTCTTGAAACACCAAAGCAAAGCAACTAAAACTAACTCAAGACAATATTCTGTCATACCTCAGCATTAGTAAAGTCGATTCCAAAATCAAAGTCATCTACTCTTGCTTCTAAGCTTCTCAAAATCTCCTCCATCTTTAATTCATCTTCTGTCTTGAAAGCATTAGGAAGAGCGACATCTAGATTTTTTTTATCTTCCTCGCTATCGGAGCTCTCATTGCTTTTGTTCTCTCCAACTGACATGGTTTTGATACCACTAACTATGTCTTCGTTTAAAAGTTCAGCATAGTTAGAAGATAATAGTCTGGAGTTTATTACTATGTCGGGCTCCACATTTAGGTTTGCCAAAATCACTTTGTACCGCCTTCCGCCAGTGTATACAGCATTCTCTTCCACTGAACAAACCTAGATACAATAAACTGTGTTACTAAAATGTTTACAGTATTTTCACTCTTTCAATGAGTGTTTGGACTGTTCCCTTAAAAACAACAAGGAATGTGCCAATTCTCAATACCACATTGATAACGGTATCGAGAATTGTTACTCAAGAGTTGATATTAATACCGGTACCCAACAGTTGATAACAAATATCCAAATTCTAGATTCAACAGACAAATTTGACAGTAAAAGTCAATTTTTTAACTGCTTAGTGCTTGTAGCCTATGTGAAATCCATCCAATTAGACTACAATTATTATTTTATGTCACTGTTCATAAAACATCAAAACAAAACCGGTTGAGGCTTTTAGTAGTTTTGTGGTCTAGAATGGCAGAAGTGCATACATTTTTATTTTTTGTTATAAAAACACAAATACAGATGCATACTAAAAAAGGACTGTATTTAGTGATAGGCTTAGGTGGACAAATAAGTTTGTTATCTGAAAAAACTTTTAATTATTATTAATTTCAAATGCAAAACAATCACAAAATTGTTTGTTGCTAAGTTATACTCAAGGGTAGGGTCCAGCCCTACTTACTGTAAGGTAACTAATTAAGTTGATTGAGTTGGGCCGCTGTAACACTTTGCTCAAGTCAAAGTTTTTGTTCTTGATTAACTAGGTAACTATTTCGCACTTCAAAATAGAAATTGGATGCCACTCAGGTAAACAGTGAATTCATATTCTATGACCAGTCCTCTTCTTCAGATTTTACATAGGCCTATCCATTCATATACCATATACTACAATTAAGTTGTTTGAGCTTAACAATGAAAAAATTGTACCTTAAGAGCTAAGGATATTGCTCCTTCATTCTCATCTCTTGATAGATCGTATATCAAGTCGATCACTTGATCCTCCCAGTCTTTGCTGTCTGAGTCTTGGAAGTACTTTACTCCAGCCAAGCAGCATTCTACGACCTGTAAAAACGTTTAATGCTTGTAGTTATTTTTGCAACCTAAAAAACCTAAATTCCCCGCATCTCTCTGACCACCTAGCCACACTGCGACTTAGTCCCGATTATACTTGCTCTACGACCATTACATTACATGTTGTCAAAAAAGCTAGATTAATTTTAGAAAAAAATATCAACATTGTGGGATCTATTTAGCCACATGAATGTTCTCAAAATAAAAATGTTTACTCACTCACAAATTCAAGGTGCAAAAATGAACAATGGATACAAAAATAATTTATAACACAATGCTAATGACTTAAACATTATTTATCAGGTACAAAAGCCAAAAGTATTGACAGATGAGTTCGTTTTAAGCCCTCTAAAAGTTGGTGCAAAACAAATAAACTATGATCTTAATACAAGTAGATGTGGACCTTTTCACACAAGTATTGTAACATTGAAAATTGTTGATAAACCTTACCTGGAACGGTAACTTAGTAATGAACTTGTTAGGAATCGGCAACACATGGTTCCAAGGTACGGCTTTGGTGTCACCAAAATCCACGAAGAACAACTCTACCGTATCTTCAGTAGGCTTGCTCCTGACCAGGGCTCGATTCCATCTAGGAGATAAAATCAATTACAGCTCAAATGAACTTACAACCATAAAAAATGCTACACTGAATAAAACTTATTTTTAAAATACCCTTCTTATACGATAATTAATTTTACAATCTGATAACTAGGCCTATTAAGTTGCTTTCGAGTTTAAAAAATAATTATTCAAGCGATATGTACAAGTTTATAAAATAATAAAACACCACTTACTCTTCAGTTTCAGACAGTTTTCCCAAACAACAATCACCAACATCAAGCATCTTGTCAAAATTAGGAGGCTGCTTTTCAGCAATTGCATATTCTTGAACTTCTTTCATCAGTCTGTCCACGCTAAAATAATAAATATACATTTGTTAAGGCCAACAGATAGCAAAGGCAATTGACTACAAGGCAAATTTGTATTAGTCAAAAGAAGGACAAGCACTAAGTAATTATTTGCCCATAAATTCCAAAGTTATTGTTGTTGGATTACATTACAAATAAATAAATGTGTTGTAATAAAATAATAAACCTTTTTCTTTGAATGAAAGGTTTTCTATGGCACATAAAAACAACCTTGTTGTACTTTAGTGTTTTAAAAAGAATGTCAATAGTCCAACATTCTTTAGTCAGAGACACATTCTACAGCGGCAGCATTATGCCTACTAGTTTTACATCACTAAAATGCTGTAGCCTACAGTCTGTGAGGGAATTAGCTTTGAACAGTATAATAATCAGCTTAAATAGTTTGTAGGACTGTAGTAGGACCTGTCCCCGAGACTACCTTTGGTATCTAAACAAATTACAGTATGCAGGTTTACTGCAGTGGTGGTGTTTTTGAAATTTTGTATCAACTGATGCCTGACGTATTTAATATTAGTGATCTTTCGTGTAGCCAACAGAAAAATCACAACAACAGTCCACTTATGAATCTCCATACAAAATATGATAATAGCTAACTATTAATCTCTTCAACTCCGGCTAAAGGACGTACTTGTCATTAAACTTGTTTTGTCGTACAAAGATCGCTTCTGGATTCTCCACTACTACAATGTGTACATCCTCCATCTCATCCACTGGCAGCCAGGCCCACTGGGGGTGAGGTTGCTTGACTTTCTTCATCACCACAGGGTCTTCTTGAGCTGCAACAAGTGTCATGACTAACAACAAAAATCTTAGGTACAAAATAAAAACATTTCTAAACATTTTTTGATCTCCTATTCTAAACTGAACAGACATGATGAAATCTGTAGGCTACGCACAGTGAATTCCGAGAATCTTGAACGGTTTACAAAACTTGCAAAAGGTGAAATGATTTTTTCCTACCAATGAATGAATCATGGATGGAAAGAAATCATTTAAAGAGTTACTGTAATATTAAGAATTTCCAATGATTTCGTAATTGAATGTTATATTGCAAAACATGAGATGATGCAGAACAAAATAAATTTTAAAATAAGAAAATTACATAGCAAATACTTCTAGGCCTATTGGACAAACTCAATAACTCCCATATGTTGTTTAAAATACAATTAAAATATTAACAGCCGTTACATTAAAAAGTGGAGAAACATTTTTTATATAATGACAATAATGTAAACAAATCTAGGAAAGGAACTTTAAAGGCTTCTGAGACAGAGCCCTAAGGGAATTTAGGCCTACTTAATTTTTATTTTGATGGCTCATCTACAGACCGAGACCTTTCTTTGGACACCTCTACCAAGTTTCTACACCCTGCCGTTCTTTCAAATTAGTGGAGACAAAGATTCCAATCAAATATTTAGATCCCCCCAAGTTAATCTTATGGGAGAAAACCTAACTTTGATGGAAGATCCTGCCCAAACTAATATACCTAAAGATAAAAAAATGAAAAAAAAAACTTCATAGCAAAACTACAGATCAGGGCCATTTTTTTGACACCGCAATCATCAAAATCGGTCCAAAAATGAGGGAGGAGTTCTGTTCACAAAAATCGGCTTAGCGTATTACTACCTATATTACCGTACTTATATAGATTTTTTTTTATTGTTAGTTGATACTAAACAATATTTATTTATTAATCATAGCCTTTGTCAGCTGACAAAAAAGTTTCAAATTAAGTTTCAATTTGTTAATAAGTTATCAATTGCCTATAACTTATAGAATAAAAAAAAAGGGTAATTCTGAGCAATTACTTAGGCTAACTTAGTCAACGCCAAACTTTTTCATATTTTACTACGGCCATAAAAAGTTCTCAGAAAACGAGAAACATATATAATTCAAGCCCCACAAGGTTAGGTTCTAGGTTATTAATTATCAATACGTTGAAGATGAGGAATAAATTGTTAGGTAGGTAATGGGTTAACCTAACCTGACCTAACCCAGCCTAACATAACGGTACTGTCACAACTGGCCTTCCGCGCATCTCCCGCAAGCCACTGTTATCGCGTGGATTTTGAACCTGCTCATCGCTCGGCAACCTGTACGATGGCCTTGAATTAGGCCTAACATACATGTTTCTTGTTTTCTGAGAACATCCTTATGACCGTAGTAAAATATGAAAAAGTCTGGGGTTGACCAAGTAGCCTAATTGCTCGGCATTACAAAAAAAAAAAATAAATAGGCTATCGATAACTTATAGGCCTATCAAAAAGAAATCATCGATAATAATAAATGTTCCCTATAACAGGAAAGTAGGCTACCATTAATAAAGTTAAGTAAGTTCAGTATTAGCCCATCTTTATGTTATTACTTATTAGGCTAAGTGTGTTTATTTGAAAAGAGAGGAAAATAAGTTATAAGCACAGGAGCATAAGTGACAGGAAATAAAAAAAACTAATATCCTAAGTTACAAGGCCTAGGCCTAGTTTGGATAGCCTAGCATCTTGGCCTCAAATATTACCATTCACCCTTTCAAAGTTCTGTTAACGATTTGTTAAACTTCTTGATCAAGGTAATAAACTTACTGTATGATAACCTAACTAACTTCAGCGTATTTTTTGTCACTCGTGTATTGAAGATTAGGTTAGGTACGACAGGTTCCATACAACCAAATAAAAATAAGAGCTGTTCAATAAAATCAAACTTACTGTTCACACTAAATAATTTGTAAGTTTGTAACTCAGAAACTTACAAGCCATATCTTCAGCTTCCATCCTGATTCCCACCAACCAAATTCAACAGGTAGGTAGCCGGTAGCCTACTCTACTTTTCTTTTCACCGGTTACCTCCAGTGTTTCCATCCGCAAGAAAAAAATATCCCTGGGCCAACGTCAAAAAATCCCTAGTTATCCCTAGTCCGTGTTCTAATAATCCCTCCAATTATCCCTCTATATCATATCTAGATAACTTATTATTGTTGCAGCAATACCAATGGATATCATGTATAGCCACCTAAAATATGGTAACTGGTGATATTATTCTTCAATATCCCATATTATTTATAAATTAATACTATATAAAAAACATTTTTGTACCATTAAAACCACGGCCATCTTTAACTCATGGCAGGCTGCGGCCTGGTGGAATTGGCAACGTTGCAAGTACCGTAGTATTGTTTAGCGCCAGATGTCCCATAAGTTAACATGGAAATAAAACATATAGAATCGAAAACCAAAACAATATAAATTGAAAATCTATTTCTGTACATTCAATGTGGAGTCAACATTTTCATAGCTCAGTAACCAAGCTTTCGTATTCTTAAAAAAATTCATAAATATCATTAGCTTAGCGTTCTTGAAACAAACACCTTCTACAACACTACCTATACTTGCAACGTTGCCACTTCGAAGGCCGCGGCCTCCGGCCTGGAATTAAAGGTAGCCGTGATTAAAAACTGTCTATGTGGTACAAAAACAAGATTAATTAACTAAAAAATGAAACAAATAGTTATTTTTAAAATTCTATAAACTAATAATTTTCATTTATAAGCATTTACAATTGTTTCAAAAATATTACTCAAGTGTCCAAATTTCAAACTTAATAGTCTTTTTCAAACATGGCCACCATGCCTTGGTGAAAAGGTTAGACCAAGTTCACTTACTAACCAAAAAACATCACAGAAATCACCGGCAAATAAAATCAAAACGAAAACAAACATTCGACATTGACACAGGGCACAGGGCTACTAATAAACAAATACAGTAATCTAGATCCGCCATATTCCATTCCACCGACCAACTCCAACTTCGCTTGTTTCGTGCAGTTTTGGCTGTTACTGTTACTCTTCCCCTTCTTGAGTGTTCCCGTTCCGACTTTGAAACACTACGTCACTAATACCTACAACCATAGATAAAACATCCTCCTTAAGGGAAAATCCTAGGGAAAAAGTAGTATAATCACTTTGTTATCAATACCTTGCAAAGTTAGCCAAAATAGGTCCTTAACTTTGTTGAAATACAGCCATAATGTATTATTTTATCAATATTTCAATTTTATAATGTCAAAGGCCTGAAATCCCCAGAAAATCTCAAAAATCCTTCAATTTCGCTGATTATCCCTAGTTATCCCTCAATCCCTTTTCAATCCCTCAAAGGCCCTAAATATCCCTAGAAAGGGATTTTTATCCCTCAAATGGAAACACTGGTTACCTCAAATAAAACCGCAGTCCGCAGTCAGTCAGTCAGTACAGTACCGCACTCATCTCAGTCGTCAAATCAAAATCAAATCGTCTCGTCTCGCGGCCCTCGCCCTCGCGGTCCGCCGTCGCAGTTTCGGTCTCGTCTCACTCGCCACACCACAGTGACCACACCCACTCACTGAAACTGACACTAGTCTACTCCAGTCTACTCACTCCACTGGGTTCAGAAATCCCGTTTCCGGTGTTCCCAACTCATTTAAACTTAGTTTTAAGTTAAACGGCGATGATTTGTGTTTTCCCGAATTTAAACTAGGTATTAATTTGGCCCGGTTCCCCCAAAATGGTGTAAACTACATTTATAATAAACTAGTTTATTTTTAAACTCCGTTTAAAATGTGTGTTCGGTTTCTCCAACAAACGGCAATTCGAGGGGTTGGCAATACGCACCTAGGTGGCGTCCCCATCTCAATAATTGATTGATTGATTGATTGATTGATCCTGAATGTGCATTTGTGGAATCTTCGGTGGGCTTTTATTGAAATGGTCAATTCTGTCCCTTATTTTAGTAGGCCCTCTTGTTCTAGGTTCTAAAGTGTCATAATAATCTTCATCTTCTACTTCTTCGAAAATGTCTATTAGGCTAACTCTTCCGTTTGAGTTAAGGGGCAAATACTGCAATTAAGCTAGCCCTAAACCAAGCCTATTTTCGTCCAAATGAAATTGTAGTTGCTTCAATGATTATTGTTTTAACACATACTTTTTGTTTTAATTTGAGGTTGTGTTACTGTTGTAATTTACTAATTTGAATTCAGTTTAGTTTATCCTTAAATCCCACTTTTGTATCATGAAAGATTCTGTAAATCCCACTTTTGAATCATGAAAGATTCAAGAAGTTGTTTAAACATTGCTATTATGTTTTGCTACACTAATTTTATCAATTGAGGTTAGTTTTCACCAAAATAAAGCATATAAAATAAAAACAGACGTCATAGCCGAAACTCCCATTTTATAGCCCCCTGCAGACGGGGACAGTAGTGGCGTCCAGTACTGGCGTCCACAAGTGGCGGCCACTGTACTGTCAAGACAGTAGCCCTACACACGGGGACAGTACTGGCTGCCACAGAAACTGTTTTAGTGGCGGCCAGTGTGACACAACAGTGTTTTTGTTCAGTATCAAAATGGATGAATTTGACGTGGAATACGAAAATGCAGTGGATGAAGTTGTTGAAGAAGTTGTCGATGAAGTAATTAATGTTTTGAGTGAAGAATTGGAAGATATAGTAAATACCCCCGCCGTTGCAAACCTGCAGTCCTGCAGACAATAGGCAAATTTCCATTAGCCTGATTTGATTTACACTAAAATGCCTCCTTAAAAATGTCACATTTAAAAATGTCCTATTTGAATGGAATTAGTTTGACGAGTACTTAGGTTTGCTGCAACAGGGAGGGTAAAAAAGTGTTTTTGTTGTAAAATGTTAGTTAAATAGTTTAGTGAGAAATGAATGTATTTTTTCCCAAATTCAATCAAAATATGTTCATAAACAAGCAAACTACAACAGCAGACTTATTCTCCATAAAAATAAC